CACAGCTGTCAACAACGGTCTCCAGGGAGTGGGCTCTACACCCATTGGTGTTCAAGGAACTCTGTTGAAGGTGGAGCATCATGGATGTAGATCTTCTCGTGTCTAGGTTCAATGCAAAGCTGGACAAGTTCATCTTCAAGACTGGGAATTCCCAAGCGTTTGCATCAGCATCTCTTGGGACACCGTGGGACCAGTTCTCCATAATGTATGCCTTTCTGCTGTTAGTTTCTATCTTGATTGCTTTGCAGGATTTGAGTGGAAGGTATTCTGGTGGTTCTAATTGTGCCTGCCTGACCCAGGAGAACATGGTGCTTTGACATTGTAAACATGCGGGGGATGACCCTTGGATCCCTCCAGATCTACCAGACCTTCAGTTGCTAGTTCAGTCTTCCATATTTACAGTCACTGGCTTTAACGGGATAGCTGTAGAAGCCAGGATCTTGAGGGACAGGAGAGTCTTTGATTTGGTCATTACTACTACCCTACTGAACCCTCGGAAGGAGACTTTAAGTGAGATTTACAACAGAACCTTGAAATCTTATTTTGTTTGGTGTTAGGCTGGGTGAGTTCATCCTTGCAAGTTTGACCTGGGTCACATATTGGTGTTTTTCCAGTCTGGAGTTGACCAGGGTTTGGTTGTGAGTATGATCAAGGATTGTATCTCAGTCTTGGTCTTTTTTTCAGAGACCAATTGCTTCTCATTCCTTGGTGCATGCCTTTGTGGAAGGTGTCGCCCATATTGTCCCACCGGTCAGAACTCTGTGGGACCTCAACTTATATATTACTTTCTATATTGCAGAGATCTTTGTTTGAACCCATCCAGGATATTTTTTTAGCCCTTCTGATTTGGAAGGTTTTTTTTTTTTGTCTGGTTGCCATTTAGTTTTGCTCACAGAGTTGCAGAATTGGCTACTCTTTCCTGTAAGAAACGGTTCCTGGTGCCAGGTGATTCCATGGTCTCAGCCGTCATTTTTACCTAAGGTGGTTGCTTCTTTCCATCTCATCCAGGACATTGCATTATCAGTTTTTCTATCCTAAACCTTAGATGCAGGAGAACAAGGCTCTTCACAGTTTGGATGTTGTTCATGGGATCAGGTGTTACCTGAAGATATAGGCTATTTGTCATTCAAATTCCCTCTTTGTGCTTCCTGAAGGCCCAAGGAAGGGGCACCCAACTTCCAAATCTTCCATTTCTCAATGGATTCTTCAGCTTATTGCTCAGGCATACAGTCTAAAGGGCAAAGTTCTACCGTTTGTTTCTATGTCGGCTCAGTGTTGGCAGTGGGCTGTTTGTCATCAGGCTTTGATAGCTCTAGTCTGTAAAGCTGCTTCTTGGTTCCTACTTTCAAGAAATTTTACCAAGTAGATTGTAAGCTCGAAAGAGCAGGGCCCTCGATCCCCTCATGTTTTGCATTGTATTGGTATTGTTCTGTCACATGTTCTGTCCCCCTTTGTAATGTACAGCGCTGAGCGAACTATTGGCGCTTTATAAATACTGTATAATAATAATAATAAGTAGATGTTGGAGCCTCTGAGGACGTTAGCTTTGTTCGCTGTGTGTTGCAGACCGCTGTGTGAGGTTTTAACCTGTTCTAGTTTAGTTATTTGGGGCCAATTGGCCTGTTGCTGTGTTGCCCTCCCCTCATTCAGTGCTTTGGGACATACCTATCATAATGAAGATGCATGGTGTTCTGTAAAGTATGACAAAAAAAATATAATTTTTTTTTAACTCAAAATTTTATTGAGAATAAACAAAATAAGAAGGTTTACATGTTCCAGAGTAAAAACATCAATGAGTAAACAAAGATAAGCTCCATCAAACATCAAATCCATGACATTGTATATATAATCCCAGTAGCTTTTTTTTCTTTTATTTACAATGATAGCCGAGGATAGCATACTAGCAGCTGTGTATACCAGCACGGGATATAGCAATTTAAATAGTTCACAATAGTCTAAGATTAAATCTGTCGAGGACAGGGTGGATTTGATGTAAATCCTAGTTTTCTACATAAAGACTAATTCTTGCTGGTATAACTTTAATATACAAGTAGATGAAGATTTTTAGAATAACTTTTCATATTAGTTTTTTTATCCCCAGTTTAATAGGTTAATCATTCATATTTGGACAACTTTTCTGTTGTACTTAGGAAGGAGAAAAATAATCATTACCTTAATAATAACAATTTAAATAAATGTATTCAACTGAAACAATAACATTCCAGCATATGTGATTTGCTTAAACATCCATGTTTGTAACTAATTTGGCTAAACAAAATCTATATATTTTAAGAAACTTAGACTGTCAGCCCCTTCCTCCTCACACTTAGCTTCACTTTCTTCTTGTGCAGATCTATTCCACTCCAAACAATCAGAAAAATATTGTTTCTATTATATTCACTGAACTTCTTGCAATTTAGCACTGAAGGGGTTGATTCTGTATTCATAGGTTTGTAGAAGTTAGGATGAAGGTCTTTTTCTTAACTCTGTTCATGTTATAACATTTTTGCTGTGAAGAAGAGGCATGTGATCTCCGCTGAGTCATTCAGTTTTGAGAACTGCAAAAGTAAACCGAGCATCTGTGATAATATCTTGTAGGCAGAGAAACTGCCCAATAATCGTACAAAAACCTCTGGAAGAGCATGACATTGTGAATGGATTCATGGAATTTATTTACCAAAAAAATTAAACATATACAGCCTTATTCTACATAATTAAAAAACTAATCTTTATTTCATGATGGAATAACCTTTGGATGGTAATATATTTTCCTCAAAAAGCATTTTATTTAAAAAAAAATCCGATTTAAATAAAAAAATCTGATTTAAATAAAAATCCACCCTGGTCGAGGATAACCCAGGTGAGTCCAACCACGGGGACCATACATTGTGAAATATGCCACGACACCCTCTATGTTGGATATATTTTTCCAAACGCAGCGTGTCGCTCATCTGAGTAATCCACTGTTTCAGAGTAGGTGGATCCGCTGACTTCCAGTGTCTAAGAATTGTTTTCGAGCCTGGAAGAGAGCCCTAGTAATCACCTGTTTATGTAGGTCCTCCACCTGAAGATCAGGCAGGATGCCCAAAAAGGCAATGTTTAGAGTCTTCCCCAAGGGTACCCTGAAATACTTTATTAATGATCTTAAGGACTCCCCTCCAGTATAGGTAAAGGTTTGGGGCATCCCCATGATCCCTAGAGCACCTGGTACACGTAGGGTCCCCTCTCGCCCTCATTTTGTACAGTCTGAAAATATTAGTTTTGATCTACTTGTAATACCCTTTTCTTGAAGTACATCACCGGACACAAAGATCCCACCCTTCTTCCTTTGTGGTTCATGGCTTGCTCCAAAAATTAAAGCCTTGCCTAAGGGGACTTGTTATGCATGAGAGGAGACTTTCCTGTTCTTATTGCTGGTGTCCAGTCTCCTGAATGTGACAGCGCAACCCTGTTGTAATGGATATGAATATGCTTTGTGTCCCGTGATGTAGTCCAAGAAAAGGATTTTGTAGGTAAACAGTAAAATTCCATTTTCTCTGCCATCTGGTGTTTTGCTAGATGTTCAGCAGTGCGCCATTCTGGATGGAGTTTTCCATTGGCTCCGATGTTCCTTTAATAGAGGGATCTGCAGTTTGTCACATTGAGGGGGGGGGGGGGGGGGGGGCGTTGGCGCTATGTCCTGTAATTGGGATGGGAGGAGCACAGTGCAGGCAGCTGATTGGAGGAATGTTGGTGCTACGCCCTATAGTGAAGGTGGAAGGTGCACAGTGCAGGGAACTGATTGGAGGAATGTTGGTGCTACGCCCTATAGTGACGGTGGAAGGAGCACAATGCAGGGAACTGATTGGTGGAATGTTTGTGCTCCACCCTATAGTGAAGGTGGAAGGAATACTATGCAGGAAACTGATTGGAGGAATGTTGGTGCTACGCCCTATAGTGACGGTGGAAGGAGCACAATGCAGGGAACTGATTGGAGGAATGTTGGTGCTACGCCCTATAGTGAAGGTGGAAGGAGCACAGTGCAGGGAACTGATTGGAGGAATGTTGGTGCTACGCCCTATAGTAAAGGTGGACGGAGCACATTGCAGGGAACTGATTGGTGGAATGTTGGTGCTCCACCCTATAGTGAAGGTGGAAGGAATACAATGCAGGGAACTGATTGGAGGAATGTTGGTGCTACGCCCTATAGTGAAGGTGGAAGGAGCATAATGCAGGGAACTGATTGGAGGAATGTTGGTGCTACGCCCTATAGTGAAGGTGGAAGGAATACTATGCAGGGAACTGATTGGAGGAATGTTGGTGCTACGCCCTATAGTGACGGTGGAAGGAGCACAATGCAGGGAACTGATTGGAGGAATGTTGGTGCTACGCCCTATAGTGAAGGTGGAAGGAGCACAATGCAGGGAACTGATTGGAGGAATGTTGGTGCTACGCCCTATAGTGAAGGTAGAAGGAGCACAATGCAGGGAACTGATTGGTGGAATGTTGGTGCTCCGCCCTATAGTGAAGGTGGAAGGAATACTATGCAGGAAACTGATTGGAGGAATGTTGGTGCTGCGCCCCATAGTGAAGGTGGAAGGAGCACAATGCAGGGATCTGATTGGTGGAATGTTGGTGCTACGCCCTATAGTGAAGGTGGAAGGAGCACAGTGCAGGGAACTGATTGGAGGAATGTTGGTGCTGCGCTCCATAGTGAAGGTGGAAGGAGCACAATGCAGGGAACTGATTGGAGGAATGTTGGTGGCGCTTCTCTCCAATCTCTAAAAGTTTTTCTCTCTCTCCTGCAGGGTTCCAGCGGTGCGCAGATCCGGCTTTACACACGTGAGTATGAGTGTTATGTTCTGCAGAGAACGGTGCAGAGCTGTTCCTTATGTTCTTTTTATTTTTCAGGGGCTGCTGGGTGCCGAATCACGTCTGTTGGCAGCCAGAAGACCTTTCTGTACGTAGAGGACAGTGCCTGCACTGTGGATCTGGGTTGCTGTCAGTAGCTAGGGGTTTGTATGTGTTTGGACAGGGTGCTGATTGTGCCGTCTGCTCTCTTTCTCTACAGACCCTCCAGTACAGATGCAATCAGGTTCTATCGGACATCAGCCGTCTGCAGTAAGTGATCTCACAGCTTACCAATCGGACGAAACAATTCAGTGACCACTATTCTTCTAACCCCTCCCTCTCTCTGGCAGGGCAGGACGTGGTGACCGTCAACACACCAGCATTTGCTGAATCTGTCACAGAGGGAGATGTCAGGTGGGAGAAAGGTGAGTTGGTGGTGCTGCTGGGTTCCTGGACACGTGGGAAAGACGGGCCAAGGGCGGTCAGCTGCGGGGGGATGGGTTTTCTATGCAGCCAGGCTCCAAGTGTGGTCAGTTAACCCCTCATTGTCTCTTGCAGCTGTCGGGGATGCCGTATCTGAGGATGAAGTTGTGTGCGAGATTGAGACTGACAAGGTGATTGGAATTCTCTTGGATTTTTACCTACTTTTGTTATGTAGACACTGAACCATTGCACTGATTGAGTGCTGAGAGGGAGGGTCTGCCCTCTGTAGTCACAATTATAGGTTGCGGTATTCTAAAGACAGGGCCTGTAGCTGTGTTGTACCATCGGTTATTTGGTCATCAGGCGCTGAGGGGTAGATTTACTAAAAGTACAATGGGTATCGAAAAAAATCCCCCCCCCCTTAATATCACATTTTGTTGCTTTGCACCCTAAAATAAAGACAGGCACAGTTTTTATTTTATCCAGCTGTATTTAAAATTCAAAAACAGAATCGCCGAGTTGGAAAAAGGATCACCCACTACTAAGAATGACTTGTAAACTCAATCAGGTGTAGCCAATCACCTTCTCAATGGCTCACAAAGCCATTTAACTTTCATTTGTGATCAGCTGTGGTCTTTTTGATTAGCTCCGTATGAAAGGAACATTCCTGGAGCATTTCAGTCCCTAGTTGTGCAACTGATGCAAGCACTCAACGATGGGTGGCGAGGCACTGTCAAAAGATCTCCAGGATAAAGTTGTGGACAGGCGCAAGTCAGGAGATGGATACAAAAATGTTTCAAAGGCTTTATCAATGCCTAGAAGCAGAGTGAAGTCTATTAAGAAGTGGAAGGTATTTGGTACAACACAGAACCTTCCGCGATCAGGACGTGGCTCCAAACTGGATAAAAGAGCCAGGAGGAAACTAAGCAGAGAAGCTACCAAGGGGCCTACAGCAACTCTGATGCAGTTGCAGGAATTGAGGACAACAAGTGGTCATTGAGTGCATGTGACAACAATATCACAAATTCTCCACTAATGTGGCTTGTATGGGAGGGGTGCAAGAAGAAAAAAACGCTCCACAAGAAAGACCACATGGAAAAAGGTGTTCTGGTCAGATTAAAAACCAAAGACTAAAATAGAATTATTTGGCCTCGACACTATACGATATATCTGGCAGAAGTCCAATCCAGATCGCCATCCAAATAACACCATTTCTACCGTAAGAATTAATTTCATAGTGCATTGTAGGTCTACACATACTTCAGTGAGGTGTCGGCATTACCTAAATTTGGGAACAGCGCCACACCCTTATATTCCAGTACCTTCCAACATGACAATGACCCAAAGCACACAGCAAAAATGACCTCACAGTGGTTGGAGGAGAAATGTCCTTGCATGGCCTAGTCAGAGCCCAGACTTCAACCCCATTGAAAATCTGTGGAATGACTTGAAGACTGCAGTCCAAAAACGGTCACCATGGAATTTACCTGAACTTGAGCAGTTCTGCAAAGAAAGGTGGGAAAATATTGCAACGTCTAGATGTGCAAAGTTAGTGGAGACATATCCCAACAGAGGAAAGGCTGGAATTTAAAGCAAAAGGCGGTTCAACAAAATACTGACACAAGGAAGTGATTCCTTTTTCCATCTCAGTGATTCTGTTTTTTAATTTTTTTTCTGACATGTTATATCTTTCACGTGGATATTATAAGTTGCACAGCTGGATAAAACAAAAGCTGTGTCTGTCTTCATTTCAGACAGCAAAGCAACAAAATATGATTATTTTAAAGGACGGGGATTATTTTCTATACAAACTTTATTGCACTCAGAATCTGGTGCAGCTGTACATGGTAGCCAATCAGCTTCTAACTTCAGCTCATTCAATTAAAGAGGAACTCTGGGATAGGCAAAAAAAATCACCTATTAGTACACCCCCCCCCCCCCCCAGACAAAACGCTAAACAGTTAATAAAAATGTTGAAACTCCTTGCCATTTAGGAGGAAAGTCTAATTGAATTTTCATGACCTCATCTCTGTAATTCAAAAGATAACCGCATCTGCTCTGCCAAGGAGGAGGTTTAACAGCCGGGAGTACATCATATTATCTCCTCTTCCCTCTGCAGTAAAAGTTCCCAGCAAACACAGGGAATTGTAGTGAATGTGGGTGGGTACACAAGGCCTGTACATGTTGAATGTGTCTGAGAGTCTGTCTGCTCACAACTGCAAGTGGGATTGAATTACATCACTGCTTCCTGTAGAAAGAACTACAGCAGGGATGTGCCAAGACCAGTGACTGGGGGAATAGGAGGCATAGCAGCCACTAATCTTACAAACCAGAAACCAAAAATAATGGTTTGATTTGAAAATGAATAGGCTATTTCAGAGCAACTACTGAGTGAACCAGAAGATGGGTGACCTATTCGGTGGTGGCAGCAAATCAGCAACAAGGACATGTAAAGAAGTTTTTGCCCGGAGTTTTGCTTTAAGCTTTGGCAGTAAAACCTGGAAGCGGATTGGTTTCTATGCAGAGCTGCATCAGTTTTAGTAAATAACCCTTATAGTCTCCCTGCAATGAGGACAGAGATGCCTTGTGTAAACTTCTTGGAAAAAGCTGTAAGCCAAAAGATGGGCTGGGTTATAGGGTTCAGACAGTGCTGGTGCCGTGGTTGCTGCAGGAATGAGAAATGCAATATTTTTTTTTTTTTTTGGGGGGGGGGGGGGGTGGAGGAGGGAGGGGGGTCCCTTACTGTTCCACTAATGGCAATCAGACATTTAATATACATGATTAAATAGATTGTGGAGTAGGTATGATGGTGCAATATTGCAGTAAGGATGGCTGTGCAGTCACACAGCTCTCCATCCTCTTTCCAAAGCATGTCAGCAGGGGCTCCAATCACAGCTCTGTGTTCAACTCCCCGACCACATTACCAGGGACCCCATTCCCAGCTCTATGCCCACCTCCTGGAACACATTACGAGGGGTCCCATCCACAACTGTCTGTCCACCTAACAGAAAACATTACCAGGGACCCCATTTACATCTCTGCACCCACCTCTCAGAATACCTATCTCCTATAAATAGGGGTCCTTGTGTGAGGTGCTATGAGTAAGTGGGGACCCTCATTTGGGAGGGAGGTGCTATAAAGGGGGGGGCCCTCGTGGGAGGTGCTATAAATGGGGGGCCCTTGTGGGAAATGCTTTAAATAGGGTGAGGTGATCATGGCTCTGCTATAAATAGAGGTTCTCGCGAGGTGATCCTAGCTCTGCTATAAATAGGGGTTCTCGTGAAGTGATCGCAGCTCTGCTATAAATAGGGGTTCTCGCGAGGTGATCGCAGCTCTGCTATAAATGGGGGTTCTCGCGAGGTGATCGCAGCTCTGCTATAAATAGGGGTTCTCGTGAAGTGATCTCAGCTCTGCTATAAATAGAGGTTTCTCGCGAGGTGATCGCAGCTCTGCTATAAATAGGGGTTCTCGCGAGGTGATCTCAGCTCTGCAATAAATAGGGGTTCTCGCAATAAAAAAAGTGATCTCAGCTCTGCTATAAATGGGGGTTCTCGCGAGGTGATCGCAGCTCTTCTATAAATGGGGGTTCTCGTGAGGTGATCCCAGCTCTGCTATAAATGGGGGTTCTCGTCAGGTGATCGCAGCTCTGCTATAAATGGGGGTTCTCGTCAGGTGATCGCAGCTCTGCTATAAATGGGGGTTCTCGCGAGGTGATCGCAGCTTGGCTATAAATAGGGGTTCTCGCGAGGTGATCTCAGCTCTGCTATAAATGGGGGTTCTCGTGAGGTGGTCACAGCTTTGCTTTGGAGCCTTCTTGTAAGTTGTTATAAATAGGGACATGTGAGATGGTCACAGTTGTGGTATAAATAGGGACCCTCATGTGAGACACTATGAATAGGGGCCCTTGTGTGAAGTTCTGTAAATTAGGGCCCTCTTGTGAGGTGGTCACAGCTCTGCCTACTGATAGATTTTATATGTAGTTTGGCTTTTGAGGACTCTGGAACCTAAGAGTCTCCTGAGGCTGCTCTGACATCTGCCTGAACTCGTATTGATACTACATGCAGTCTTCCAGCTCCTAAGTCACCATAGCAGTATCCAGCACAGAGCCCTGTAGTTTGCTTTATTCTTAAAATGAACCTGTGTTCCAATGTGCACGTTGTCCCCTTTGGGGGGAGGACAGGATAAAGACAACCTGTCTATTGTGAGACTTCTTCATTCTAAAACTCCTAAGAGTTAAGCCCTGCCAACTATCATTCCATTGTCCAATAAATACGGCTTAGAGACCATAGCAGCATTTTCATTGGACAGGGCGGGCGGGAGTTTAGCCATTAAGTCAGGGCTCTGTATCAAAGTGAAACTAAATCAGAGGGGGGAACAGGACAGGCATTTCTGGCTAAAACACGTAATAGGCATCTTGTGGTGTTTGCTGTGAAGTATACTCCCAGTTAAGACTGGTTCTCTTTAATTACTTTAATATGTTTCATCCAATACGCTTCATATTTCCTTTTGTAGACATCGGTGCAAGTTCCCGCCCCTACAGCTGGAGTTATCGAGGCTCTTTTGGTCCCTGATGGCGGAAAGGTGGAGAGTGGAACTCCACTCTTTGTCCTTAGGAAGTCTGGAGGTACATACTATTGACTAGAGGAAAAGGGGGAGGGGTCAACCTGGAAATGTATATTACTAGCTAGAGGAAGAAGGGGGGAGGGGTCAGTCTGGAGCTACATAGTATTGGCTAGAAGGGGGAGGGGTCAGTTTAGAGCTACATAGTATTGGCTAGAGGGAGAAGGGGGAGGGGTCAGTCTGGAAGTACATATTACTGGCTAGAGGAAGAAGGGGAAGGGGTCAGTCTGGAGGTACATGGTATTGGCTAGAGGAAGAAGGGGAATAAGTCAGTCTGGAGGTACATGGTACTGGCTAGAGGAAGAAGGGGAAGGGGTCAGTTTTGGAGGTACATAGTACTGGCTAGAGGAAGAAGGGGAAGGGGTCAGTCTGGAGGTTCATGGTACTGGCTAAAAGAAGAGAAGGGGAAGGGGTCAGTCTTGGAGGTACATAGTACTGGCTAGAGGAAGAAGTGGGAGGGGTCAGTCTGTAGGTACATGGTACTGGCTAGAAGAAGAAGGGGAAGGGGTCAGTCTTGGAGGTACATAGTACTGGCTAGAGGAAGAAGGGGAAGGGGTCAGTCTTGGACGTACATGGTAGAGGAAGAAAAGGAAGGGGTCAGTCTGGACTTGCATGGTACTGGCTAGAGGAAGAAGGGAAAGGGGTAAGTCTGGAGGTACATGGTACTGGCTAGAGGAAGAAGGGGAAGGGGTCAGTCTAGAGGTACATGGTACTGGCTAGATGAAGAAGGAAAAGGGGTCAGTATTGGACGTACATGGTAGAGGAAGAAGAGGAAGGGGTCAGTCTGGACTTGCATGGTACTGGCTAGAGGGTTCTGTCTGGACTTACATGGTACTGGCTAGAGGAAGAAGAGGAAGGGGTAAGTCTGGGGATACATGGTACTGGCTAGAGGAAGAATGGGAAGGGGTTCAGTCTGGAGGTTCATAGTACTGGCTAGAGGAAGAAGGAAAAGGGGTCAGTCTTGGACGTACATGGTAGAGGAAGAAGAGGAAGGGGTCAGTCTGGACTTGCATGGTACTGGCTAGAGGGTTCTGTCTGGACTTACATGGTACTGGCTAGAGGAAGAAGAGGAAGGGGTAAGTCTGGGGATACATGGTACTGGCTAGAGGAAGAATGGGAAGGGGTTCAGTCTGGAGGTTCATAGTACTGGCTAGAGGAAGAAGGAAAAGGGGTCAGTCTTGGACGTACATGGTAAAGGAAGAAGAGGAAGGGGTCAGTCTGGACTTGCCTGGTACTGGCTAGAGGAAAAAGGGGTCAGTCTGGACTTGCATGGTACTGGCTAGAGGAAGAAGGGGAAGGGGTCAGTCTGGAGGTACATGGTACTGGCTAGAGGGGGAAAGGGTCAGTCTGGAGGTTCATGGTACTGGCTAGAGGAAGAAGTGGGAGGGGTCAGTCTGGAGGTACATGGTACTGGCTAGAGGAAGAAGGGGAAGGGGTCAGTCTTGGACGTACATGGTACTGGCTAGAGGAAGAAGGGGAAGGGGTCAGTCTTGGACGTACATGGTACTGGCTAGAGGAAGAAGGGGAAGGGGTCAGTCTGGACTTACATGGTACTGGCTAGAGGAAGAAGGGGAAGGGGTCAGTCTTGGACGTACATGGTACTGGCTAGAGGAAGAAGGGGAAGGGGTCAGTTTTGGACGTACATGGTACTGGCTAGAGGAAGAAGGGGAAGGGGTCAGTCTTGGACGTACATGGTACTGGCTATAGGAAGAAGGGGAAGGGGTCAGTCTTGGACGTACATGGTACTGGCTAGAGGAAGAAGGGGGAGGGGTCAGTCTGCAGGTACTGGTTAGAGTAAAAGAAAAAAAAAAGGAGCGGGTCAATCTTGAACTCCTTAGTATTAGCTTGAGAAAGAAAGGGGAGGAGTTTGTCTTGGAGGTACGTAGTGTTGGCAGAGGGTGGTCAGTCTTGAAGAAGAATTCTGGAAGGTGATAGATTTATCTGCTTTGTTGTTTTTTCTTTTTCATTCAGCTGCTCCTAAAAGCAAAGCGGCCGAGGCTGCAGCTCCTCCTCCATCTGTAGCTCCTCCTACAGCCAGCCCTCAGCCTGCTTCAGCCCCACCTCCTGCTGCTGGTCCAATACCCACAACTCTCCCACCTGTGCCACCCGTCTCTTCCCAACCACTGGAAACCAAGCCTGGTACGTTGCAACAAGATGTTGGGTGGTGTGTGATTGGTATAATTTTTTTGCCAAATTTTGTTGTAAGGGGATTGGAAACAGTAGATATAGAAGTCAGAGTGGATAGTGACATTGGGTGGGAACTGTAGATATGATATAGAGATTAGCAGTTGGACACGTGCACTGAGTGGACAATGTAGATATGGAACTCTGTGACTGGACACTGTAGATCTGGAGGTTAGCTGTTGAACACTGGCACTGGGTGGACACTAGATCTTGAGGTTCGTGATTGGACACTGGCAGTGGGTGGACACTGTAGATATGGAGGTTAGTGATTGGAAACTGGCACTGGGTGGACACTGTAGATATGGAGGTTACTGATTGGAAAATGGCACTGGGTGGACACTGTAGATATGGAGGTTAGTGATTGGATACTGGCACTGGGTGGACACTGTACATACGGAGGTTAGTGATTGGACACTGGCACTGGGTGGACACTGTAGATATGGAGGTTAGTGATTGGATACTGGCACTGGGTGGACACTGTAGATACGGAGGTTAGTGATTGGATACTGGCACTGGGTGGACGCTGTAGATACGGATGTTAATGATTGGATATTGGCACTGGGTGGACACTAGATATGAAGGTTAGAGACTGGATACTGGCACTGGGTGGACACTCTAGATATGGAGGTTAGTGATTGGATGCTGGCACTGGGTGGACACTCTAGATATGGAGGTTAGTGATTGGATACTGGCACTGAGTGCACAAGTTGCAAGACATGATAGCATATGATTGGTATTGGTGGTTCAGTTTGGTGGGCGGAGTTGATATTGACATATTATGAACTTGCAGTGTCTGCTGTGAAGCCAACAACTGCCGCTCCTGTGTCTGAGGTCGCCCCAGCTGGCAGCGCACGCACAGAACACAGGGTAAGCTCCTCCTCCCTTTCCTAAAACCAGCAGGGTATGCCCCTCCTCCCTGTCCTGACACAGGGTAAGTCTCGGTTCACAGTAGTGCGACGTCCTGGAGACTTGAGTACTACTTTGATGCGATTTGGTGTGACTTTGAAGCAACTTTCAGGGAATGCCTGGGCAATCTTCCTGTAATGTCAGATCCAATATAGATGAGGATCCAACTTGGAGGCGACTTCCAGTAAAGTCTATGGGCACAAGTTGGATAGAAGTCGCCTTGAAGTAGTACAGGAACCTTTTCTAAAGTCGGTGCTAATTAAGACAGCTCTCATTGACTGACATGGGATTTCACATGTCATGTCAGAAGAAGTTGGATCTCAAGTCTCTGCAGTGTGAACCGAGCCTTCGCCCTCCTCGCTTTCCTCCTAACCACATGGTACACCCCTCCTTCCTTTCCTCCGCACTGCGCTGCTCTACTCAGTGTGCCCTCTACAGGTGAAAATGAACCGCATGCGGCAGAGAATCGCTCAGAGGTTGAAGGAAGCTCAGAACACGTGTGCTATGCTGACCACCTTCAATGAGGTGGATATGAGGTAAGTGTCCAGTGTCTGGGGGGGGAGGGGTTTAGTCTTCCGGCTTGGAGTCTCATAACGCATCTCCTCTTCTACAGTAACATCCAGCAGATGAGGACGCAGCACAAAGACGCTTTCCTGAAGAAACACACCCTAAAGCTCGGCTTTATGTCCGCTTTCGTTAAAGCTGCAGCCTTCGCCCTCCAGGACCAGCCGGCTGTCAATGCTGGTGAGCCTCTCCTATATAACACCCCATGGCATGCCCCGTCTTACCTCCTCCATTCTGAGGGTGTATATTAGAGGACCCCCCCGTAATCCCTGCCTCTCTAGTCCCTGTTCTGTATTCATTTGCTGGTCTCTGCCCCCGCCCGGCATGTTAACAGACTCCCAATCCCCGGTACCTATCCCCTACCTGTTTATTAGAGCCTGTCTGCACCCTGCATATTAGAGGCTCCTCCCTCTTCAGTCCATGATAAGTCTCCTTTCCCTGTGAATTGGAGGCTATCCTCTCCCTAGTCGCCATTCTGTATTTTAGAAGCCTCCACCTCTCCAGTCCTTGTCCTGCATACTGAATTCCTCCCTCTCTGGTCCCTGCTGTCTATATTAGAGGTCCTGCTCCTTCATTCCTGGGTCAATATCCCCTCCCTGCATATTACAGGCTCCTCCCTCTCTGGTCCCTGTCCTCGCTGCATATTACAGGCTCCTCCCTCTCTGGTCCCTGCCCTCGCTGCATATTACAGGCTCCTCCCTCTCTGGTCCCTGCCCTCACTGCATATTACAGGCTCCTCCCTCTCTGGTCCCTGCCCTCACTGCATATTACAGGCTCCTCCCTCTCCAGTCCCTGTGCTCACTGCATATTACAGGCTCCTCCCTCTCCAGTCCCTGTCCTCAATGCATATTACAGGCTCCTCCCTCTCCAGTCCCTGTCCTCACTGCATATTACAGACTCCTCCCTTTCCGGTCTCTGTCCTCACTGCATATTACAGGCTCCTCCCTCTCCAATCCCTGTCCTTTGCATATTAGAGGCTCCTCCCTCTCCGATCCCTGTCCTTTGCATATTACAGGCTCCTCCCTCTCCTGTCCCTGTCCTCACTGCATATTACAGGCTCCTCCCCTCCAATCCCTGGTTTGTCACCGCACTGCCTACTAGAGCCCCCCAGATGTTAGTGAGTTCTCTGTCTCCACCTTTTCTGTTTTTTCCCCTCATAGTTATTGATGATACAACGAAGGAGATCGTGTACCGAGACTACATAGACATCAGTGTGGCTGTATCTACACCCCGGGTGAGTGAGCGAACATTTGAGTGAGGCGTGGGGTTAGGAGAGATTCTACTCTGATTCGACCTTTCCCCTCCCCTTGCAGGGTCTGGTGGTTCCTGTGTTACGCAATGTGGAGTCTATGAACTTTGCTGACATTGAACGGACCATTGCGGAGCTTGGAGAAAAGGTGATGTAATACAGAACACTACAGCTTGGGGGCAACACTGCAGAGTGCGTCACATGACATATAGTGCAAATAAATCCTTCGTACCCACCCATGAAGAGCATCATAAAAGACTAAAGAATATGGAAACCCAGCTGCTCATATTCCTGATATGTTCCTGCTGTACCATGTATGAGAGAGTCTCCTGTTCTCTTTATATTGCTTCCTGTGTGTGAAATCTCTGGTATTCCTGCCAGTCCCTCTGCTTTCCTGATGAAAACTGACCACAATAGACATGAGACCACAGCATGGTCAGTTCTCTAGCTGTGCTGGGAATTCAGCCAGCTTTCCTCCAGTGATCAGACTTCTTCTGACGTGCACCCCCCTGCACAGCCATTCACTGGGAAGATCAGTGTACTGCTTTTTTTTTTTTCTCTCCGCTCTTAAGAAGCTGAGAACAGAGGGAATGTGATCATTTATTTTTATGTATAAATATACATATATATTTATTGTATATAATTTTTTTAAATCTACACACAAATGTACTGCCTTTCATTTATATTTTTAACTGAGTGGGTTGTTTTACAAGGCAAGGGTTTACATATACTTTAAAGTGTTACTAAACCCCCAACAGTACAATCAGTCTGTAGATGCAGTAAAGCATGCTTGTTATACTCACTGTGGAATCTAAGGGGTTAATCCTCTGCACTGTGTAAAAAGGCTGTTTGAGCCTGTCTTCTCTGCCTCTCCTCTTGTTCAACTGTCCACACAGATAAGACAGACTGATCCTGTAGCCCTTCTGCACATGCTCAGTTTGGTGTGTATTGCTAGAGAGTCTTTTTTGTTTGGGAGAGTGCATGTGATCAGCACAGGGCCATAATCAGCACTGTCCAGACAGAGGTCAGGGGTTCTGCATCCTTCTAGAGCAGAAAGAAAACTCTTCCTACAAGCTTTAACCAGTGCTCTGCTGAAGTCACAAGGCTGCTCTAAGTGCTGAAGAGAAAAGGTATTTAGCAGTTTTTATTTACTAAAATATTTGCACTTCCATGTTCTGTGGGAGACCGTATATAGTGAATGCAGGGTCCTGGGAGAGCAGATGTAATGAATGCAGGGTCCGGGGAGACCGGATATAGTGAATGCGGGGTCCGGGGAGACCGGATGTAGTGAATGCGGGGTCCGGGGAGACCGGATGTAGTGAATGCGGGGTCCGGGGAGACCGGATGTAGTGAGTGCGGGGTCCGGGGAGACCGGATGTAGTGAGTGCGGGGTCCGGGGAGACCGGATGTAGTGAGTGCGGGGTCCGGGGAGAGCGGATGTAGTGAGTGCGGGGTCCGGGGAGAGCGGATGTAGTGAGTGCGGGGTCCGGGGAGAGCGGATGTAGTGAGTGCGGGGTCCGGGGAGAGCGGATGTAGTGAGTGCGGGGTCCGGGGAGAGCGGATGTAGTGAGTGCGGGGTCCGGGGAGAGCGGATGTAGTGAGTGCGGGGTCCGGGGAGAGCGGATGTAGTGAATGCAGGGTCCGGGGTTTAGTAACACTTTAATATCCGTTCACCTTGACTATATGCAGAATTCTTTGAAAGAAAGGGGGAACGGTTGATAGTAAAACATCACCAGTGGGAAGTGGCAGGGTTAGTGGTGGAAGGAGAGAGCATGACATCACCAACAGGGTGGGAAGTGGGAGGACTCAGTGGAGGGAGTAGATCTGAGCTGTTTGAGTAATGGACGCATGTTTTGCTCTTCAGGCTCGCAAGAATGAGTTGGCAATTGAAGATATGGATGGTGGCACCTTCACGATCAGTAATGGAGGGGTTTTCGGGTCCCTGTTTGGCACACCTATCATCAATCCCCCACAGTCAGCCATCCTGGGAATGCATGGCATATTTGACCGACCTGTGGCCATATCTGGAAAGGTATGTACATTTATGGTAGTGGGGTCTGGAGGGTTCGTGTAGGGCCAGTGTTGGATGGATTCGGGATTTTGGAGTCTGTTGTACAAATTAAGATGTGCCTTACAGAAGTCATGTAGACGAAAGGCAACCATAGATGGATTGAATCTCAACCGGTTCAGCAGGAACTGATCAAAATTCGATCAAGCTATGGGCAGTCTGATTGTACCCATGTCAGTCCGATTGTACCCATGTCAGTCTGATTGTACCCATGTCAGTCCATTTATTAACTTGGGTACAAGCAGCCTGTCAGATCTTTAGCATGTGATTACTGCCTGTAGCTATAGCTGTTAGCAATAACCATTGTGGCTCCCCACCAGAATGCAATAGTTCTGCAGGAGAAATTCCCCCAACAACATTGACTGTGTTGATGGGGGAATCAAGCGATTTTATTTTCTGCAAACCATGGCTGAAGGAAAGAAAATCACATAATCTATGGCTTGCCTAAATGTTTAAAGATTGGGGGGGGGGGGGGGGGGGGGGGTAGATTTAGGGTATGTTAGGGGCTTTGTTGATTTGAGATTTCACGGGGCAGTTTAGATTTTAAGGGTTGCCATTGTAATTTTGGTGTGTTGAGTGGTTATGTGGGCTCATTGGGCCTGTTTTTGGCTTGTGTCTCCATTATTTTGCTCATTGTGCCTTGCTGGTCTCACAGGTGGAGGTGCGCCCAATGATGTATGTTGCGCTAACTTATGATCATCGATTAATAGACGGCAGAGAAGCAGTCCTTTTCCTGCGCAAGATCAAGTCGGTAGTGGAGGATCCTCGTGTTCTCCTTCTGGACCTCTGAGGGATTTTCTGCACGGTCCTCAACTATCCATTTACTTCCCATCTCCCCAGTTTTATGTTGGAGGGGCCACAGTTCCCCAACCCAACCCCCACTGAGCAAATAGGCGCCAATTCAGAGACTTGCTGTGCGCTTTATACAGACTCCTCTTCCAGTGGGTTGGGCCATCACCTCTTCCACCTATTTTGGATATGGGTCCTTCTATCAATATGGCACCTTGCAACATAATATACAGAGTTAACTACAATATTTAAAGACCTGATTTTAAATGTTTAAAAATAAACACCGTTTATGAAAATACGCTTGAGTAGAAAGCATTATATTTGCAGAGCTGCAATATGCTACTGTCAGAGTGAAGTGGTAAAATAATGGAGGTGAAGGAAGTTGCACAAGACCACAACCTCCCTGTTATGAGAATCGCACGACTCCTCTGTGAATCCTCAAAATAGAACTCAGTATTACTCGAGGTGTATTTTTGAAACATGGAGTCATGTGACACCAGTGACCTCGCAGCCCTTCAGTAGGTTTGTATGTATTCAGCCATCTTATGTACTGCTCAAAGGTGGCCTCAGTTCTCCCGCTATTCCTCAGATGGGTCCTGACCTCTGTATACAAACGGGATTATGAGTGCGTCCTTCGGAAATGTTAGTTCTTGTGGTTTGAATGTAGAAACAAATAAGAAATATCTGTGTTTCCCACAACGACCAATCACATCCCTTTCCTGTGTTGTATGGTTACCATGGACAACGGAGACATCGGATTTCAGCAGTTTTTCAGATTGTACTAACACAAGGCAGATGTATAGCTGCAGAGTGATCTAGTACAGGGGTTAAAATTTCGAGTCCAGACCTACTAGCCGGTCACAAAACTTACTCTCCACAAGTTGCCCCACCCCTGGCCTACCCCAACCACACCCCCTTAAAGCTTATGAAACTACATTTTTCTTTAGAATAAATAGTGCAAAATATAAAACTGTACACAGTAATGTATATCCCCCTCCCCTGTACTCCATTATAGTGATATGACGTGTATATAGTAATGTATATCCCCCCTCCCCTGTACTCCATTATAGTGATATGACGTGTATACAGTAATGTATATCCCCCCTCCCCTGTACTCCATTATAGTGATATGACGTGTATACAGTAATGTATATCCCCCTCCCCTGTACTCCATTATAGTGATATGACGTGTATACAGTAATGTATATCCCCCTCCCCTGTACTCCATTATAGTGATATGACGTGTATACAGTAATGTATATCCCCCCTCCCCTGTACTCCATTATAGTGATATGACGTGTATACAGTAATGTATATCCCCCCCTCCCCTGTACTCCATTATAGTGATATGACATGTATACAGTAATGTATATTCCCCCCCCCCTCCCCTGTACTCCATTATAGTGATATGACATGTATACAGTAATGTATACCCCCCCCCCCCCTGTACTCCATTATAGTGATATGACGTGTATACAGTAATGTATATCATCCCTCCCCTGTACTCCATTATAGTGATATGACATGTATACAGTAATGTATATCCCCCCTCCCCTGTACTCCATTATAGTGATAGGACGTGTATACAGTAATGTATATCCCCCTCCCCTGTACTCCATTATAGTGATAGGACGTGTATACAGTAATGTATATCCCCCTCCCCTGTACTCCAATATAGTGATATGACGTGTATACAGTAATGTATATCCCCCTCCCCTGTACTCCATTATAGTGATATGACGTGTATACAGTAATGTATATCCCCCTCCCTTGTACTCCATTATAGTGATATGACGTGTATACAGTAATGTATATCCCCCTCCCCTGTACTCCAATATAGTGATATGACGTGTATACAGTATGTATATCCCCCCTCCCCTGTACTCCATTATAGTGATAGGACATGTGTACAGTAATGTATATCCCCCTCCCCTGTACTCCAATATAGTGATATGACGTGTATACAGTATGTATATCCCCCCTCCCCTGTACTCCATTATAGTGATAGGACGTGTATACAGTAATGTATATCCCCCCCTCCCCTGTACTCCATTATAGTGATAGGACATGTTATATTCAGTACTTACTGTCCCCCGTGGCGGTGGAGAGGGTATCTCCTCTCAGTGGAGGAGAGCGGTCCTCTCCTGCACCTGTCTCCTCTCGGCAGCGGTGCCACAGAAGCCGGAAGGTGTTAACCAGAACTCGGCTTCACAATGAGGCTTGGAGCGCCTGCGCAGTCGCTCCATGCCTCTTCATTTGTGCTCGCTGCTCGCCACAGAGGAATTTCTCCTCGCATTTGGGGAGCAGCTTTTTCAAGCCCTGATCTAGGAACTGGCTGTCATCCTCCACCTTCCCTGAAGCACTGGGAGCCATTGAACTGTCAGGATTCCTAAACTATTCTGCATCAGTGATTCACCAGCAATGAGGAAAGGATCGGGAGGACACCCCTGGAGCCTGTACATTTAAAACAAATGGCAGCCCCCATATTTCTAAACTGAAAGGTGCTGGGCCCCACCCTTCACCTGACCAGCAGCAACCAATCAAATAACTCCTTTCTTCTTTTCTCTACTCAAACAAGATGAAATGGAGTAGCTGATTGGTTGCTGTGGGCTCTCTGTTATTGATGATGCAAGACTGACATGGAGCTGAGCAAATGTTCTTAGCCATTCCCTGGCCCATCTGGCAGGATGCGTTTCTCACTGAACAACGGACGCCGACACAGACAGAAGCAGAGTGCTCTCATTTATTGTTCATATGAACAGGTGACATCACAGTGATGGGAACTTTTGTGGCCCTTTGGCCCCCGTGTCTTAAGACGTCACATGACATCATAGTGGCATGCATCCCGATATTGGCTGCTTCTTGCGGCCCCTCTCACACCAGCTTGTGCCATTGGATGCCGCTGAAGAAAGGGTGGGATTTTATCTTCTGCGCACCACCTGGGCCAAAGCCGAGCCGCTTTTCTGGATCGTAACACAGAAGCTGTAGGACAGAGATATCGTGACCGTACAATAAACTGAATTCAACACACACCATCACATAAAATCTGGGGCCCTCTACAATGCCCTTCCCCATCCTGACACCCACAACCTCACGCAGCACAACTATTGTCACACATACATTGACAAAGAGATAAGCACTCAACCTATGACTGACAAATTCTGGAAGTTATAATTCTCCTCTGATGTCCTTTGAAGGTTGTAGGAACATTCCCTCCACGCAGACTTCCCATCGACAGTATGTGTTCCTGCCCTCCTATGTAGGTCACAGTAGGTAGGAGAATGGCTCCCACTGTATCCTGTCTGAGGGATTGTGAAGATTCATCCCCACCATGTTCTATCTAAGGAATGGTAGAGAATACACTCCCTATCATGTCCTGTGCATGGGACAAAAGGCAAATGAGCCCCATGTCCCCTTTTCCCAGTGTAAATCACATTACTGGAGGAGAAACTTATAATCCTGAAAGAAGTGATCATTCTTTATATACACTTGCCAACCTCTTTATTAGGTACACCTGTTCAATTGCTTGGTAACACAAATTGCTATTTAGCCAATCACATGGCAGCAACGCAATGCATTTAGGCATCTAAATGCGTTGAAGACGACTTCCTGAAGTTCAAACCAAGCATCAAAGTGAGTAAGAAAGGGGATTTAAGTGACTGGATGTGGCATTGGTTGTTGGTGCCAGCTGGGCTGGTTTGAGTAGTTCAAAAACTGATCTACTGGGATTTTCATACACAACCTTCTCTACGGTTTACAGAGAATGGTCTGAAAAAGAGAAAATATCCAGTGAGCGGCTGTTGTGCGGACAAAAAATGCCTTTTTAATGTCAGAGAAGAATGGGCAGACTAGTTCGGGATGATAGAAAGGCAACAGTACCGCAACTAACCACTCGTTACAACCAAGGTATGCAGAATACCATGTTTGAACGTACAACACGCTGAAGCAGATGGGCAACAGCAGCAGAAGACCACATCGGGTGACACTCCTGTCAGCTAAGAACAGGAAACTGAGGCAACAATTCACACAGGATCACCAAGATTGGAAAACTGTTGCCTGGTCTGATGAGTCTGGATTTCAGCTGTGACATTCAGATGGTAGGGTCAGAATTTGGAATAAACACCATGAAAGTATGGATCCATCCTGCCTTGTATCAACAGTTCAGGCTGGTGGTATAATGGTGTGGGGGATATTTTCTTGGCACACTTTGGGCCCATTGGTACCAATTGAGCATCGTTTAAACATAACAGCCTAGCTGAGTATTGTTGCTGACCCACTCCATCCCTTTATGACTACAGTGTACTCATCTTCTGATGGCTCCTTCCAGCAGGATCACAAAGTTCAAATCATCTCAAACTGGATTCCTTGAACATGACAATGGGTTCACTGCACTCCAATGGCCTCCACAGTCACCAGATCTCAGTCCAATAGAGCACCTTTGGGATGTGGTAGAACAGGAGATTCTCATCATGGATGTGCAGCCAATAAATCTGCAGCAACTGCGTGATGCTATCATGTCATGTGGACCAAAATCTCTGAGGAACGTTTCCAACACCTTGTTGAATCTATGCCATGAAGAATTAAGGCAGTTCTGAAAGCAAAAGGGGGTTCAACCTCATACTATCAAGGTGTACCTAATAAAGTGGCCGGTGATTGTAGTTTTGACACAATTTGATAGATAATTGTGGTTGCACAGATTCCTCGTCAGTGTCCCTGCTGGCAAAATGATGTTTCCCACGGTTTACTTTTTATATTGTATTATATTTATAGGAGAGTAGCTGTTTGAAATTACCAAAAGTCCCTGATTCCAGGCTACTGGTGTCTCTGATTTCGAGTTGACAGATTGTCCAGCCATTGGAGGTTCTGATCTGACAAAGTGATATTTTCCAGTTTCTCTGTGATATTAACATTCTCGGCAATTAGGATTTACATTGAGTACATTGGATATATGAGTGTTTTGCAGAAAGAATAGTATCTAAGATGTAGGTGTTATGATGAATGTAGAACATGTAAGTGGTACATAGGATTTATAGGTATTATGTAAGATGTATACAGGTAGTACATAAGATGTGTAGTTATGAGGAAGTATAGATTTAGTGTTCTATATGATGTACAAGTAGTATATAGGAAGTTTAGGTAGTGTGTATATATAAGCCTCCCTCAAAAAGAGTTCCATCTGGGGTCTTCATGGATGCCTTGGCAAAATAGTGAGAAATTGTCAGCACGCTAGGGAGTTTTCTCTGTGCAACATTACAACCTTGGGTACCATGTGGGCCAGCCACTCACACCCTAACAACTGATGAGGCCATTGGTTAACCTCCCTAGCGGTCTGATTATGTCAGTATTTCTGTGCTCAAAGCAGTACATTTTTTTGCATGGAAAAATTTATTTTTTTTGTATTGTAGGCCTGTAATTTTTAGGAATAACTCACTGAAATCTGTCCGAACAACAGTCTAGTAAACATTCCGGGTATGTTAAAATTTGAAACACGAAATCATAAATTATAATTTAATAAATCATAAAAGTAATAAATTTAATTCAATAATATAATCAAACCAAAAACACTGACATTTGAAATAGAGCACCAAGTTCGCACATCACTGAGCAAAGTCGCAGAATCATTTTCAGTGTCTGATGACAAATTTCCCCCACGAATCATTATCACTCAATTCTGCAAGTGGTTCTGATTTACTATCGCTGTTCTCTAGCCGGTCTAAAACCGCTTTTGACCTAAAGGGACACTTTTTGGATGCCATGGACGTTTCTCAGTTTCCAGGCAGAAAGAACAGTAAAAAAGCAGGCAGGGCGTCAGACAAAGCACTCGGGACAAAATGTATGTGAAATGGTTTGATACAGGAATGTTATACTATGTGATTTTAGTAAATGTCACTTTTACAACTTTCAAATTTCCCACCAGTTCCGTCCCCCATACGTCCCAACGTCGCAGGGAACGGAACCCAGAAGACGGATGCCTGCATCGTCCGGAGGACATTACTGGGGACACTGCAGGAGGGACATCGCGAAAGCGAAGGACAAGGTAAGTGAAGAAGAGATCCCAGAGCAATGCTGCAGTGTATTCCTGAGTGTAGCTCGGGGTTACCACTTGTGGTGCTGAAACTTTACCCCGATCTACACTCGGGAATACCTCCAGGTAGGTTAATAAGGAGCACATTGCACACCTACACAGCATCCTTGCTTGCCCCTCTCCATCAGGGTACACATGGAGTACCTATGGATAGAGCATCGCTGTTGCTGCTGGAAGAATACAATTTTTGTAGACGAGGGATCTGCAGTCTCACTACGTTTGTTTGCAGACAGTGTGGGGAACTGCTGGAACCTGGAACTTACCAGCACCTACAACCAGAGTAAATGAGGTACAGGAACTCGGAGCGGTACTGGGGGATATGTGCATGTCCATCCAGAATCAGAACATTTAAAATAATTGTATTTGATAATATATATATAACAAAGCCAAAGGAGATCTCAGATTTCCTATTTACTATCAGATCCTTTCCTGGCTCATTCCCTGTATCTGGCTCAGTGTTATCTCTTAGCATTCAGCTAAACCATCTCTGTATCAGAACTGCTGTGACCCCTTGAAGAGTAAAATCTCAGTAGCAAATTATGAAAAATGACTGGGATATATTAAAACATAATACTACATACAGAGCAGAATGTGGTGCCCAGCCTGGAAATATCGAAAGATCGGCCTAATTAGAAATGGTAAAACCTAATGTTAGAAAACCAATACACCCCAATAAACTCACCTCCCTCAACAGAGAAATGGAATCTGCACTGAGGAATTCTGGGTAGGGGATTTCCATGTGAGCACTGAGTCCCGAATTCAGGTTCCTGCAAAGAGACTGTAGAGACACAGCAGGTCAGACACCCACCACAGGGCGAGACACAGCGGGTAAGACAGCAGGCGGAACACACACAAAACATGAGACATACGCCGCAGGAAGGACTTCCACTCCAGGATGGGGGACAGCAGGCAGGAATTCCCCCTACAGGGCAAAACACAGCAGGCCGGACACCCACCTCGGGACAAGAGAGCAGGCAGAACACACACAAAACATGAGACATACGCCGCAGGAAGGACTTCCACTCCAGGATGGGGGACAGCAGGCAGGAATTCCCCCTACAGGGCAAAACACAGCAGGCCGGACACCCACCTCGGGACAAGAGAGCAGGCAGAACACACACAAAAGGTGAGCCATCAGCTACAGGGAAAGACAGCAGGCAGGACACCCACGCCAAGGTGTGACACAAAGTAAGGCATTCACCACTGGGCATCCACCAAGTGGGACCACACATACTCATCGCCTACTCACCTGGCCGCACAATATCTCGTAGAGCAGAACTCCTAGGCTCCACCAATCACAGGCTTCACTCACTGGCCCTACCCCTAGGACCTCTGTAGACAAATCAGTGAACAGTATCAGAAATATAAAAGGAAAAACATTTAAAAATTTTTTCCTCACACCTTTTTTTTTCTACACTAAAAAAAGAATTATAATGGAAGTAACAAGACAGGCACTGTCCAGGAAGAGAAATAGAGGGATCACTGGGATGATAGGCACTGTCCAGGTAGGGATCTCTGATAACTAAATACAACAGGCACCGACCAGAAAGGGGATCTGAGGGATCGCTGGGAAGGTAACAGGACAGTCACCGGCCAGAAAGGCAATATGAGGGATCACTGGAAAAGTAGCAGGACAGTCACCGGCCAGAAAGGCAATATGAGGGATCACTGGAAAAGTAGCAGGACAGTCACCGACCAGAAAGGGGGTCTGAGGGATCGCTGGGAAGGTAACAAGACAGGCACTGAACAGATAGGGAATCCAGGGGATCGCTGGGAAGGTAACAGGACAGGCACCGGCCAGAAAGGGAATATGAGGGATCACTGGAAAAGTAGCAGAACAGGCACCGACCAGAGAGAGAATCTGGGGGATCACTGGGAAGGTAAAAGGACAGGCACTTGGCCAGGGAGGGAATCAGAAGGATTGCTAGGAAGATGACAGGACAGGTGTTGGCCAGGGAAGGAATCAGAGGGATGGCTGAGAAAGTAACAAGACAGGTGCCAGCCAGGGAGGGAATCCGAGGGCTTGCTGGTAGGGTGACAGGACCGGTGTTGGCCAGGAAAGGAATCAGAGGGATGGCTGGAAAGGTAAAAAGGACAGGCACTGACTAGGGATGGAAGCAGAGGAATTACTGGGAAGGAAAAATGGTAAGAGGATTCATTGTCTCACCTGGTGCCACATACAGGTTCTCAACGGCCTCTGGACAACAGACATGGTCGACCTCTCGCCACTGGCCAAAATACGTCAAGCATACCTCACCTGAGGGACAACATATAGAGTCATCATATGTCAGAGCCATAAAGTAACGCTTTACGATGCTTAAAAAAATAAACAGCACAGCTCAGGACTGAGATGATTTTTGGCTGTTCGTAATAAAGCAGATTGGACTGTCAGTGTCATGTTCTGTTCTGCAGGTACTCTATGGGTCAATGGGGTGTTACAGGGAAGATCTCACCTTTCTCTCCCATAAGCAGGTTGCGAGGATTCAGATCCTGGCACAGAACCCCCTCCTGGTGAAGAGTATCCAGCGCCAGCACCAGCTGTGCAGCCCACAATCGGACCTCTGATTCTGGGACACCCACTGCTGGAGAAACATTGTCCAGAGACACACTTCGTTTAAGCTGTGCTTGGCTGATGCCCTGATCGGCCATACAGATGGGCACCGGCGGGACTTGTCTGGTGTTTGTTTCTTGTGCTTGGAAATTCCTGAGATGGTCCCAAAGTCGGCCACCTGCAAGGAAGGGAGGCGGATGGTTGGAGGAGGAAAGCAAAGTATGCTGGGATCAGTAACTGTCACATGACAAACCTTTAACGTGCTGCAACTGGAGGTACACAGAGTCATCACTGACGTAGAATCGCTGCAGCGGAACCATGAAGGGAACACCCTGTGGAATAATTGTTACGGTTCCATTACCACTGCGGCCGGACTTCATCAGAGACTACAAGGACAGAAAGAAAGGGTTGTCATCAAGAACAGGTCAGAGAAACAGCAAGCAATGCAAACACCCAGAATGATATGGAAACTTTGATATGGCTGTGGCTTGGGGACATACACATCACTCAATACTCATCCCAAGCCTTCAGGGTTATTGAAAATTAAAGAAAACTTCATCAGGGTCATCTCACAGAACATGAAGGAAGCCAATCCCTTCATCTTAGGAGACTTAACGAGCCAAATTGCCCCATCACTCTTCTGTTTCTGTATTTTACAACAGCCCATAATAATCTGTTATCTCATTCCTATAAATTGCAGGAAATTCTGATCATTGCAACCTAGGAAGGGCCCTTTGGGGTGTCACTGTTCTCCTTCATCCATCCTGCTCCAACAGATGATTCAAATTTACGAAGACCTCATCTTATGTATTTTTCGTACCGATCCCCCTATCCTCTCCACGCACCCATCTACCTTAATCTATTCTATCGATCTTTGTGTGTTCTACAATGTCTTTGTCATGATAGATATGTCAGATCTTCATTCTCCTCCTCCGCAATTCAGAGATATCCCTCTTCCCATTCACATCTTCAGTTCTTACTCACCGTAGCACACATCCTCTGCCTACCCACACTTCTACACCATCTCTATTGATTGGTATTCATGTCCTCCGCCTGCCCCCGCCCACACTTCCCCGTCATCTCTCCTAATTGATGGCCTTGCTTCACTTCTCATGTCATCGTCACAATTCTCATCAGATCCTGCTAGTTTTATGTGGATTACATCCTATCCTACATCAACAACATAACAGTTGCTCAGTATCTGCATATCAGAGAAGCTTCTGCAATACTTACAACATCCCATATATTGCCAAGACATGCCTGCTCTATGGAGCCACTGAATACAGGTAGAGTGAGTGTAAAACGTGGCTGTATAGTGCAACTTACAAATCCAACGATGTTGGTTCCCAATCGAATGCTGAGTCTCTTCCCCCCAAACTGAACTCCCTTCCCTAATCCTTTCTGTGGGCTCAGAACCCTTCAGGACTCTCTATATCAACTTCGGTCGCGCTTCTCAATAATTAATAATATCCCTCCAAGACTGTATATATCAGTGTACCCAGCACTGCTCCTCACTAAAACATGATATCCCCTCCAGGACTCCATAGATCAATAACCTCAGTCTCATTCCTCACTAATCCATATTCTCCCTCCAGGAATCTATAGATCCCTAGTGGCCTGGGGGTTTCATGCGGCACTTTGGCACTTTCTGTGCAAACCCTGGGGGCCCCTGCAGAATCTAACCTGCGTTTTCCTATTGCTCTGTTATTGCAATGATTTCTAGCAGTCTAACATAATTCAGTATGTCCCCAGTCTAGGACTGACTCCTGAAGCATGTCCTCAGTCTCCCAACAACTTCCACAGTATGTTCATAGTCTCTGAAAGTCTTCTGCAGCATGTCCGCAGTCTCTGACCATCGCCTGTATCATGTCCACAGTCTCTGACCATCGCCTGTATCATGTCCAAAGTCTCTGACCATCGCCTGTATCATGTCCAAAGTCTCTGACCATCGCCTGTATCATGTCCACAGTCTCTGACCATCGCCTGTATCATGTCCACAGTCTCTGACCATCGCCTGCATCATGTCCACAGTCTCTGACCATCGCCTGCATCATGTCCACAGTCTCTGACCATCGCCTGTATCATGTCCACAGTCTCTGACCATCGCCTGTATCATGTCCACAGTCTCTGACCATCGCCTGTATCATGTCCACAGTCTCTGACCATCTCTTGTATCAGGTCCACAGTCTCTGACCATCTCTTGTATCAGGTCCACAGTCTCTGACCATCTCTTGTATCAGGTCCACAGTCTCTGACCATCTCTTGTATCAGGTCCACAGTCTCTGACCATCTCTTGTATCAGGTCCACAGTCTCTGACCATCTCTTGTATCAGGTCCACAGTCTCTGACCATCTCTTGTATCAGGTCCACAGTCTCTGACCATCTTCTGTATCACAGCCTTTACCTATATCTGGTTGTGCGTCTGCTGTGCCTGATACCGAATATTCACGGAATTTCATGAGCAGGCTTTTGTGATGATGTTGGAGGACCACAGTTGAGGTCCCCCATATTGATAAAAAGTCAACCCCCACTGTTATAGATCAATAACCCTCGGTTCCCACTAACACACATTCTCCTCCCTCCAAGACTATCTCAATAACCTCAGGCTTGTTCCTCACCAATACACATTATACATTGAATACATTTGCAGTCTCTGACCATCTCCTGTGCCATCTCTACAGTCTGACCATCTCTTGTATTGTGTCCACAGTCTCTGACCTCATATTAACACTAGAAATTCTGAAGGACCCTCTGCACACTGGTATATACCCTTTCAAGCAGACTATGCAAGAAATAGGGATATTTAGTTCACACATATTGCAATACATGCTTAAGCTGGCCAACTGGCACTAGCTGTTGGGATTTGAGCACAGGTATCTCTTGTTTGTTGTATTGTTGGGTCAGTAGCCAGACCTGAACCTTGTAGCTCTCCCCATTGTGTCTTTTCCCCTATGCTAGCATTGTGTCCACAGTAGCATTTGCATAGACAGAGCAGAGTAGGACTGGCCATAGAGGGATTACTTTGACGCAGTTGGCCAGCTTAAGCATGTATTGCAATATGTGTGAACCAAATATCCCTATTTATTGCATAGTCTGCTTGAAAATACCAGTGTGCAGAGGGTCCTTCAGAATTTCTAGTGTTAATATGTGGATACACCCCTTTAGCACCCGATGAATAAATGCATACACTAGCTGTTGGGATTTGTGCACAGGTATCTCTTGTTTGTTCAAAGTCTCTGACCATCGCCTATGTCGCGTTCACAGTCTCTGACCATCTCTTGTATCATGTCCACAGTCTCTGACCACCTCCTGTATCATGTCCACAGTCTCTGACCATCGCCTGTATCATGTCCACAGTCTCTGACCATCGCCTGTATCATGTCCACAGTCTCTGACCATCGCCTGTATCATGTCCACAGTCACTGACCATCGCCTGTATCATGTCCACAGTCACTGACCATCGCCTGTATCATGTCCACAGTCTTTGACCATCGCCTGTATCATGTCCACAGTCTCTGACCATCGCCTGTATCATGTCCACAGTCTCTGACCATCGCCTGTATCATGTCCACAGTCTGGCCATCTCCTGTATCACAGTCTTTACCTATATCTGGTTGTGTGTCTGCTGTGCCCGATACCGAATATTCACGGAATTTTATGAGCAGGCTTTGTGGTGATGTTGGAGGACCACGGTAAGGCCCCCCATACTAAGAAAGTCAAACCCCACTGCTATAGATCAATAACCCACGGTTCTAACGAACACATATTCTCCTCCCTCCAAAATTCTTTATCTCAATAACCTCGTTCTTGTTCCTCACCAATACACATTATACATCGAATACTTTCTTGTTACAAGATGAAGAAGAATTCAGAAATATCAGCAATCAGTGTAGTGAAGAGGAACACTTTTACCTTTAGGATAAATGTTGCACCTGAGGATGGATCACAAACCAACTGCACCTAAATCCGGGAAGGGGGGCAGAAATAGGAGAGGAGCAAATTACACAGGGTAGGATAAAAGGAGGGACAGATAAAGAGGAAACAAAATAAGGGTGAGGGGCAGAATAGAGGGGGTGAGTTAATGGTGGAGGAGCAGAATAGAGGGGGTGAGTTAATGGTGGAGGGGCAGAATAGAGGGGGTGAGTTAATGGTGGAGGGGCAGAATAGAGGGGGTGAGTTAATGGTGGAGGGGCAGAATCGAGGGGGTGAGTTAATGGTGGAGGGGCAGAATAGAGGGGGTGAGTTAATGGTGGAGGGGCAGAATAGAGGGGGTGAGGGGAAGAATAGATGGGGTGAGTTAAGGGTGAGGGGAAGAATAGATGGGGTGAGTTAAGGGTGAGGGGCAGAATTGAGGGGGTGAGTTAAGGATGAGGGGCAGAATAAAGGGGGTAAGTTAATGGTGAGGGGCAGAATTGAGGGGGTGAGTTAATGGTGGAGGGGCAGAATAGAGGGGGTGAGTTAATGGTGAGGGGCAGAATAGAGGGGGTGAGTTAATGGTGGAGGGGCAGAATAGAGGGGGTGAGTTAATGGTGGAGGGGCAGAATCGAGGGGGTGAGTTAATGGTGGAGGGGCAGAATAGAGGGGGTGAGTTAATGGTGGAGGGGCAGAATAGAGGGGGTGAGGGGAAGAATAGATGGGGTGAGTTAAGGGTGAGGGGCAGAATTGAGGGGGTGAGTTAAGGATGAGGGGCAGAATTGAGGGGGTGAGTTAAGGATGAGGGGCAGAATTGAGGGGGTGAGTTAAAGATGAGGGGCAGAATTGAGGGGGTGAGTTAAGGATGAGGGGCAGAATTGAGGGGGTGAGTTAATGGTGAGGGGCAGAATAGAGGGGGTGAGTTAATGGTGAGGGGCAGAATTGAGGGGGTGAGTTAATGATGAGACGAAAAATAGAGGGAGTGAGTTAATGGTGAGGGGCAGAATTGAGGGGGTGATTTAATGGTGAGCGGAAGAATAGATGGGGTGAGTTGAGGGTGAGGGGCAGAATTGATGGGGTGAGTTAAGGGTGAGGGGCAGAATAGATGGGGTGAGTTAAGGGTGAGGGGCAGAATAGATGGGGTGAGTTAAGGGTGAGGGGCAGAATAGAGGGGGTGAGTTGAGGGTGAGGGGCAGAGTTGAGGGGGTGAGTTAAGGATGAGGGGCAGAATCAAGGGTGTGAGTTAATAGTGAGGGGCAGAATTGAGGGGGTGAGATAATAGTGAGGGGCAGAATCGAGGGTGTGAGTTAAGGATGAGGGGCAGAATCAAGGGTGTGAGTTAATAGTGAGGGGCAGAATCGAGGGTGTGAGTTAAGGATGAGGGGCAGCATCAAGGGTGTGAGTTAATAGTGAGAGGCAGAATTGAGGGGGTGAGTTAGGGGAAAGGCAGAATGAAGGAGGGGCAGAACAGATGGGTGTGAAAAGGAGAGTGGCAGAATAGAAGGGGTGAAATACCGCGTAGGGGCAGATTGGAGGGGGGTGGGATATAGAGAAAGGGAAGAAAAAAGGGGGTGGGATAAAGAGGAAGGGCAGAATAGATGGAGTGGGGTAGGAGAGGGAGATGGTGAAATAAATGTGAGTTTTCTAATTCACATCACAGGAGAGCATAACTCTACAGCCAATGTGGGATCTTTGTACAGTTAAAGTGGAACTAAACCCATTAATTTATTGATTTAAAAAAAAAAAAAGTTACAATTCCAGCAAGCCAGGAATGCTGTCACGTTTGCTTGTTTTCTCAACCAAAACCGTCAAACCATCCAATGGCTGGAGTCATAACTGATCACATTTGCAGCACCATGGCAACTGCAGATCAAACAGAGTCTAATATGGCAGCCTCCTTGACTTAGTTAGAGGAGGGTTTAGTTCCGCTTTAAGTCCCACCCCACAAAATAGCACACCCAATCACACCCTGGAACACAATATTGGTTACCTTGTCAATAATCTGCAACACTTGGCAACGCTTCAAATTTTCCACAGCTGCGCTCAGGACTCTGATTGGTCGAAATCTCAAGCTGCTGTAACCCTGAAATAGGAATGGAATTGACAGATCACAGGGTGCAGAGAATATTGGTAAGTCATACATGGACCTTCATCAGCTCTCTTCTATCAGGCCAGAGACTCTGAACTTTCTGCTGAAGGGAAGTCCAGTAACTGGCAGGGGTTTGGACGGCTGGGGTCTGTGCCTTCACACAGCGGCCACTTTATTAGGGACATGAGCAGAGCCACTACAAAGGGGACTGAAGTCCCTCTGCAACTCATTGCTATCGTTATCTTAGAGTCTGTAAAGTAGTTGTAGTTCCCAGGCATGCAGAATGCACATCTGCTGACCTTCTGGGATTACCACCCACTTGGAAGCTTTAGACTTTACAGAGATTGGCCATCCACTAAACAAGGGCCATCAAGTGAATGGCAGAATGTGGCGAAAAAGGAGCACGTTCAGATTGGTTCCACAGCTCCTCCAACAACCACTGTTTACAGCAATGCTGCGCAGAAGGTTGAACACCCTGTATGAGAAATCATGAAAAGGACAGACTACAGCAGAAGACCAGCCGGAGGTCCTCCAGGAAAATGATGTCATTGAGAACACCAGAGCACCAGGGCTGGGGGATTAGATTAGAAGAACAGTGCTGGTCTGAGGAACCACCATTTTGCTGTACAGGTGGAGAGTCAAAATGTGGTGCACATGGGAGGAATCTAAGGATCCATCTTGTCCAGGGTCAGCAGTTCAGGTTCCAGTCTGTGGTCAGTGGTTCAGGCTGGAGGCAGGGTAAGAATGGGGAAGGATTTCTAGGCACATATTAGGGGTTATAGACTGAACATATATTTGAATGCCACAGCAGGCCTGAGTTCTACTGATGACAAACCATAAAAGTACCAGAGGGGTGACTGTGTGCAGCCAGTACAAGTACAAAAAAAGGTGACGCTAATAAGGTAGCTGGCTGAATGTATGTATGTTGCTCCTTAACAAACTGAGATCAAAGAAACCCCAAATGTGCCTTCAAAACACACACATCACCTGTCCCCTTCCTCAGCCACACAGATCTCAGGACTGACCTCTGCTGCTCCACCCACACTTCCCAGAGGCCTCTGCAAGTGACAGTTGAAAATTTCTTCAGCACGCTTTAAGTATTGTGAGATTTTTCGTTTGACTGCATCACGGCGCTCCCGACTCGGATCCACTGCAAGAAAAAAAAAAACAAAATAAATGGTAAGAGGAGATGGCAGAGGCAAACTGGAGCAGATCACTACCATACGTTATACCAATTAAGATGGAGAATAGCGGAGAGGACTGTGTGGGAAGATGGAAGATAAAAGAGAAGACAGCGGACAGAGAGAGTAAAGCTGGCCATACAAAATGTGGCAGGTTTAGCGGAGACCAGCTGAATTTCCACCCACGTATGGCCATCCCTATTTGGGTTGATCATTATATTGACTTCTGACAAACTGACAAGTTGGAAAACTTTTGTTGATCAATGGGCTGCAGCCACTGATCAGTGTATACTGACAGCTCAGAATCCTGCAGGAAAAAGGGGATTCCTCCATCCATCTCATTTTGTGTGAATGGAGGAATCTATGGTCAGTTTAACAAAAGGCGGATAGCAGGGGGAGGGCGAATAAAGGAGAGAACAGCAGAGGAGATGAAAGAGGATAGAGGAGGAGAGGACAGCTGGGAAAAGGATGGTGGATAGAGGAGAGGACAGCAAGAAAGAAGACTGAGGATAGAGGAGAGGACGCCGAGGAGGAATACAGAGGATAGAGGAGAGGACAGCAAGAAAGAAGACTGAGGATAGAGGAGAGGACGCCGAGGAAGAATACAGAGGATAGAGGAGAGGACGCCGAGGAAGAATACAGAGGATAGAGAGGACGCCGAGGAAGAATACAGAGGATAGAGGAGAGGACGCCGAGGAAGAATACAGAGGATAGAGGAGAGGACGCCGAGGAAGAATACAGAGGATAGAGGAGAGGACGCCGAGGAAGAATACAGAGGATACAGGAGAGGACGCCGAGGAAGAATACAGAGGATACAGGAGAGGACGCCGAGGAAGAATACAGAGGATAGAGGAGAGGACAGCAAGAAAGAATACAGAGGATAGAGGAGAGGACGCCGAGGAATAATACAGAGGATAGAGGAGAGGACAGCAAGAAAGAAGAGTGAGGATAGAGGAGAGCACGCCGAGGAAGAATACAGAGGATAGAGGAGAGGACACCGAGGAAGAATACAGAGGATAGAGGAGAGGACACCGAGGAAGAATATAGAGGGAGAGGACAGCAAGAAAGAATACAGAAAGAAAGAGGAGAGGACGCCGAGGAATAATACAGAGGATAGAGGAGAGGACAGCAAGAAAGAAGAGTGAGGATAGAGGAAAGAGCACGCCGAGGAAGAATACAGAGGATAGAGGAGAGGACACCGAGGAAGAATACAGAGGATAGAGGAAGAGGACGCCGAGGAAGAATACAGAGGATAGAGGAGAGGACGCCGAGGAAGAAAAACAGAGGATAGAGGAGAAACGCCGAGGAAGAATACAGAGGATAGAGGAGAGGACACCGAGGAAGAATACAGAGGATAGAGGAGAGGACAGCAAGAAAGAAATACAGAGGATAGAGGAGAGGACGCCGAGGATAGAGCAGAGGATAGAGGAGAGGACACCGAGGAAAAAATACAGAGGATAGAGGAGAGGACGCCGAGGAAAAAATACAGAGGATAGAGGAGAGGACAGCAAGAAAGAAGAGTGAGAATAGAGGAGAGCACGCCGAGGAAAAAAATACAGAGGATAGAGGAGAGGACGCCGAGGAAGAAAACAGAGGATAGAGGAGAGGACACCGAGGAAGAATACAGAGGATAGAGGAGAGGACGCCGAGGAAAGAATACAGGGGATAGAGAGAGAGGACACTGAGGAAGAATACAGAGGATAGAGGAAAGGAAAAGCAAGAAAGAATACAGAGGATAGAGGAGAGGACGCCGAGGAAGAATACAGAGGATAGAGGAGAGGACGCCGAGGCAGAATACAGAGGATAGAGGAAGGAGGACGCCGAGGAAGAATACAGAGGATAGAGGAGAGGACGCCGAGGAAGAAAAACAGAGGATAGAGGAGAGGACGCCGAGGAAGAATACAGAGGATAGAGGAGAGGACGCCGAGGAAGAATACAGAGGATAGAGGAGAGGACGCCGAGGAAGAATACAGAGGATAGAAAGAGGACAGCAAGAAAGAATACAGAGGATAGAGGAGAGGACGCCGAGGAATAAAACAGAGGATAGAGGAAAAGGAAAAGCAAAAAAGAAGAAAAGGATAGAGGAAAGCACGCCGAGGAAGAATACAGAGGATAGAGGAGAGGACACCGAGGAAAGAATACAGAGGATAGAGGAGAGGACACCGAGGAAGAATACAGAGGATAGAGGAGAGGACGCCGAGGAAGAATACAGAGGATAGAGGAAAAGGACGCCGAGGAAGAATACAGAGGATAGAGGAGAGGACACCGAGGAAGAAAAACAGAGGATAGAGGGAGAGGAAAAAAAGAAAGAATACAGAGGATAGAAAGAGAAAAAAAAGGATAGAGCAGAGGATAGAGGAGAGGAAAGAGGAAGAATACAGAGGATAGAGGAGAGGACGCCGAGGAAGAATACAGAGGATAGAGGAGAGGACAGCAAGAAAGAAAGTGAGGATAGAGGAGAGCACGCCGAGGAAGAATACAGAGGATAGAGGAGAACGAAAAAAGGAAGAATACAGAGGATAGAGGAGAGGACACCGAGGAAAAATACAGAGGATAGAGGAGAGGACAGCAAGAAAGAAAAAGTGAGGATAGAGGAGAGCACGCCGAAAAAAGAATACAGAGGATAGAGGAGAGGACGCCGAGGAAGAAAATAAAGAGGATAGAAAAAGAGGAAAGAGCCGAGGAAGAATACAGAGGATAAAAAAAAAGAGGACGCCGAGGAAGAAAAAAAAACAGGGGATAGAGGAGAGGACAGCAAGAAAGAATACAGAGGAAAGAGGAGAGGAAAAGGAATAAAACAGAAGATAGAGGAGAAGGACGCCAAGGAAGAATAAGAGGATTAAGAAGAGAGGACGCCGAGGAAAATAAAAGGATAGAGGAAAAGAAAGAGGACGCCGAGGAATAATAAAGAAGAAAAGAGGAGAGGACGCCAAGGAAGAATACAGAGGATTAAGGAGAGGATGCCGAGGAAGAATAAGAGGAAAGAGGAGAGGACATCAAGGAAGAATACAGAGGATAGAAAAAGAGGACAGCAAAAAAAAAGAGCGAGGAAGAGGAGAGGACGCCGAAAAAAGAAAACAGGAGGATAGAGGAGAGGGCGCCGAGGAAGAATACAGAGGATAGAGGAGAGGACGCCGAGGAAGAATACAGAGGATAGAGGAAAGGACGCCAAGGAAAAATACATAGGATAGAGGAGAGGACAAAAGAAAGAAGAGTGAGGATAGAGGAGAGCACACCTAGGAAGAATACAGAGGATTAAGGAGAGGATGCCGAGGAAGAATACAGAGGATAGAGGAGAGGACATCAAGGAAGAATACAGAGGATAGAGGAGAGGACAAAAAAAAAGAATACAGAGGATAGAGGAGAGGACGCCGAGGAAGAATACAGGAGGATAGAGGAAGAGGACGCCGAGGAAAAAATACAGGAAAAAGAGAGGAGAAGGAAAAAAAGGAAGAATACAGAGGAAAAGAGGAGAGGACGCCGAGGAAAGAAAAAAGAAAAAAAAAATAGAGGAGAGGACGCCGAAAAAAAATAAAGAGGATAGAGGAGAGGACGCCAAAGAAGAATACAAGGAAGAAAAGAACGCCGAAAAAAGAATACAGAGGAAGAGGAGAGGAAGAAGGAAGAATACAGAGGATAGAGGAGAGGACATCAAGGAAAGAATACAGAGGATAGAGGAGAGGACGCCGAGGAATAATACAGAGGATAGAGGAGAGGAAAGCAAGAAAAATACAGAGGATAGAGGAGAGGACGCCGAGGATAGAGCAAAGGATAGAGGAGAGGACACCGAGGAAGAAACAAAGGATAGAGGAGAGGAAAAAAGGAAGAAGAATACAGAGGATAGAGGAGAGGAAAAAGCAAGAAAGAATAAAAAGAGGATAGAGGAGAGCACGCCGAGATATAAGCAGAAAATAGAGAAAAGGAAACCGAGGAAGAATACAGAGGATAGAGGAGAAACGCCGAGGAAGAATACAGAGGAAAGAGGAGAGGACAAAAAAAAAAAAGAGTGAGGATAGAGGAGAGCACGCCGAGGAAGAATACAGAGGATAGAGGAGAAAACGCCGAAAAAGAATACAGAGGATAGAGGAGAGGACACCGAGGAAGAATACAGAGGAAAGAGAGAGGAGAGGACAGCAAGAAAAAAGAAAAAAGTGAGGATAGAAAAAGAGCACGCCGAGGAAGAATACAGGAGGAAAGAGGAGAGGGCGCCGAAAAAAAGAAATACAGAGGATAAAAGGAGAAAACGCCGAGGAAGAATACAGAGGAAGAGGAGAGGACGCCGAGGAAGAATAAGGAGGATAGAGGAGAGGACGCCAAGGAAGAAAACAGAGGATAGAGGAGAAAACGCCGAGGAAGAATACAGAGGATAGAGGAGAACGCCGAGGAAGAATACAGAGGATAGAGGAGAGGAAAAAAAAAAACGCCAAAGAAAAATACAAAAAAAAGGATAGAGGAAAGGACGCCGAGGAAGAATACAGAGGATAGAGGAGAGGACAAAAGGAAGAATACAGAGGATAGAGGAGAGGACATCAAGGAAAAATACAGAGGATAGAGGAGAGGACATCAAGGAAGAATACAGAGGAAGAGGAGAGGACATCAAGGAAGAATAAAGAAGAGGATAGAGGAGAGGAAAATCAAGGAAAAAATACAGAGGATAGAGGAGAGGACAAAAGGAAGAATACAGAGGATAGAGGAGAGGACATCAAAAAAAAATAAGAGGATAGAGAAAAAGAGGACATCAAGGAAGAAACAGAGGATAGAGGAAGAAAAAAAGGAAGAATACAGAGGATAAAAGGAGAAACGCCGAGGAAGAATACAGAGGAGAGAGGAGAGGACGCCGAGGAAGAATACAGAGGAAGAGGAGAGGACGCCGAGGAAGAATACAGAGGACAGAGGAGAGGACATCAAGGAAAGAAAACTGAGGACAGAAGGGGACGAGAGGGAAGACAACAGAGGATCAAGGAAGAAAAAAAAAAGAAAAATGGAGAAGAAGGGAAAACAGGGGATGAGAAAATAGAGGTAAGGAAAGTGGGAAAGAAAAAACAGTGGATTGAGGAGGGGAATGAGGGAAGAAGACAGGAGATAGAAAAAGAGGATAGTGGGGAAAAGGATAGAGAAGAAAATGAGAGAGAAGAAAACTGAGAACATAGTAGAAGATGGGAGGAAAAAAAAAAAAAAAGGTGGAGGCTAGAGAAGAGGACAGCTGGACAGAAGATGGAAAGCTAGAGGAGAGGACAGGGGAAGAAGACTGAGGACAAAGGAGAAGATGGGGAGAAAGAAGAAGGATTGAGGAGAGGAACGGTGGAAGAAGATAAAGGACACAGGAGAGAACAGCAGGAAAAAGATGGAGGAGAGATGAGAGAATGAGGGGAGGGGGGAGTAAGACTAAAAAGACAGTGGAGTTGGGGTAAGAAGATAATAGAGAGGACAGTAGAAAAAGATAGGGGAAAAAGGTGAGGGCAGCTGAAAAAAAAAGATGATGGATAGAGGAGAGAATGGGGGAATAAGATGAAGGATAAAGGAGATGGCAGCTGGAAAGAGATGGAGGAGAGAGGAAGGGACAGCAGAAAAAAAAAGATGGAGTTGAGAGTAGAGGACTAATGGGGGGTGATTGATCAGAAAGGACAAAGCTATACAGTGCAACAGCCAACCAATCAGCTTACAGAGGAACAGGACTAAGACATACTCCTTGGCTGCAGAATGACACATGAATGGCACTGATTGGATTATCATTCACAATATGGCCGCAGCAGATTGGACTCTTGTCTTTTCGGGTGTCCACACTGACCTGTCACCCCATTGAGCAGGAGCTCCACGCCATGCTTGTAGTGGTTGAATGCAGCCTCATACTCCTCATTAGCATCTCGCTCCTGCGCCACATGAAGCTGCTTGGCTGCATCCACCAGGTAATCCCGCTTGAATGGCGTTTTGGAAGTCGGCTCGATAACTCGATAATGACAGGAAAAGTCTCTGTCACTGCTCATCTCCCACCTGAACTGTGACACCAGGTGGGAAGTCCCGGGAAGGTGCCACCGCAGTCAGGGTGTGGCTGAAATGAAAATAATACAGAAAATTCAGAATTGTTCCCTTCCGTGGGAAGAAAGAGTAACTGTGATCATAAGCAATCAGACATGAGGTTTCGTTAGGTTTTTGTTTGTTGAAAATGAAACAAGGAATCTGACTGGTTGAGAGACAGTTTTGCTTTCAAAGTATATTTTTCCAAGTCAGTCTCAGTCTATAGCCCTTCATTTCTCCAAGATTTCCAGGTCAGAGCAGAGCTGAGGTTGTGAGCAGAGACCTGGAAAACATGACCTGATTATTTTCCAATCAGAAATGCACTGGTGGTGAAGAGCTGTTGGCCCCATCTGTGACTGGCATTTACTATGGGGGTCACTAGCTGTTCAGGGGCTCCAGCTAGGACTGGAATGTACTATGGTTGTCATTAGCTGTTCAGGGACCCCAGCTGTGACTGCAATGTACTTTGGAGGTGAAGAGCTGTCAGTGGCCCCAGCTGTGACAGGAATATACTATGGGGTGAGGAGCTGTCCAGGGGCTCCAGCTGTGACTGGAATGTACTATGAAGGTGAAAGAGCAGTTCAGGGGCCCCAGCTTGTACTACAGTGTGCTAAGGGGGTGAGGAGCTGTTCAAGGGCACCAGCTGTGACTACAATATACTAAGGGGGTGAAGAGCTGTTCAACGGGCCCCAGCTGTGACTTCAATATACTATGGGGTGACTGGCTGTTCAGGGGCCCCAGCTGTGACATCAATGTACTATGGGGGGGGGGGGGGGGGGTGACTAGCTGTTCAGGGGCCCCAGCTGTGACTACAATGTACTAAGGGGGTGAGGAGCTGTTCAAGGGCCCCAGCTTTGACTTCTATGTACTATGGGAGGGTGACTAGCTGTCCAGGAGCCTCAGCTGTGACCCCAAAGTCCTGTGCTGGGAGAAAGATGGGTATCTACATTATTACAGCATTACTCTATTGGAGAAATGTGACGCTGGGGACAGTGAGCATGGTGTGGAGACAGACAGAGCACAGGGAAGGGGTCACAGGTACAGTGATGGAGAGCAGGTTGCCAGGGACAAGGATGGAGAGGAAGGCTGTCAAGAATGGGATGGAGATGGATCTCAAGGGACGGAGATAGAGAGTGGGTTGCCAGAAATAGGTATTGAGAGGGGTCGCCAGGGACAGAGATAGAAAGGGATCATCAGGATGCAGAGATGTTACCAAGAACAGGGATGGAAAGGGGTCACTGGGATCAGGATGAAGAGGTGGCACCATGGATAGGAATGGAAAGGGGTCATCGAGATCAGGATGAAGAGGTCACACCATGGACAGGGATGGAAAGGGGTCATCAGGGACAAGGATTGAGAGGGGTTGTCAGGGATGGGGATGGAGAAGAGACACCATAGATGGAATTAAAAGGGTTTTCCCTAGGGATGAAGATGGAGAGGGAGCGCCATGGATTGGGATTAAGGGACAGGATGGAGTTGGACCACCAGGGACAGGGATGGAGAGGAGACACCATGGACAGGATTAAGACAGGGATGAGAGTGGTAACTAGTGATGGAAATGGTCCACCCAGGGACGGGGACAGAGACCATACGCCTGGGATGGAGACAGAGAAGGCTTGCCAGGGATGGAGATAGAGGGGGCTCACCAAAGATGGGGATAGAGGGGGCTCACCAAAGATGGGGATAGAGGGGGCTCGCTAGGCATGGGGGAAAAAAAGGGCTTGTCATGGGAGGGGATGCAAAAGGCTTGCTAGGGAAGATGGAAAGGGGGTCACCAGGGACAGGGATGGAGAGGGGTAGCAATGGATGAGGTTGTTGAGGGGTTGCCAGGGATGGGAATGGAAAGGGGCCATATGGATAGGATGAGGGATCATTAGGGAAATGGATGGACAGGGCTCATCAGGTATGGGGATGGAGAGAAGTCTAAGGGGATGGTGATGGAAAGAGGTCATTAGGGATGTGAATGGAGAAAGGTAGCCAAAGGCAGGATGGAGAGGGGTCATTAAAGATGAAGAAGGGTTGCCAGGGATGGAGTAAAAAAGGGGTTACCAGGGACAGGGATGGAGAGGGGTTATCAAGGATGAAGAACAGTCACCAGGGACAGGGGGGGGATGGGGGGGGGGGGGGGGGGGGGTCACTGCAGATAAAAAAAGAAATGCAAGGGATGGAATGAGGGGATAGAGAAGGCATGTCAGGGACAGGGAAGGCATGTCGGGGATGGGGAAGGTGTGTCTAGGACGGGGATGGAGAAGGTATATCGGGCATGGGGAAGGTATACTGAAGACGGGAATGGGGAAGGCATGTCGGGAACAGAGAAGGTATGTTGGGGATGGGGATGGAGAAGGCGTGTCAGAGATGGGGAGGGGAAGGTATGTCAGAGATGGGGATGGGGAAGGTATGTCAGAGATGGGGATGGAGAAGGTAATTCAGAGATGGGGATGGAGAAGGTAATTCAGAGATGGGGATGGAGAAGGTAATTCAGAGATGGGGATGGAGAAGGTAATTCAGAGATGGGGATGGGGAAGGTAATTCACAGAAGGGGATGGGGAAGGTAATTCACAGAAGGGGATGGGGAAGGTAATTCAGAGAAGGGGATGGAGAAGGTATGTCGGGGAGGGGGATGGAGAAGGTATGTCGGGGAGGGGGATGGAGAAGGTATGTCGGGGGAGGGGGATGGAGAAGGTATGTCGGGGAGGGGGATGGAGAAGGTATGTCGGGGACGGGGATGGAGAAGGTATGTCGGGGATGGAGAAGGTATGTCGGGGGGGGATGGAGAAGGTATGTCGGGGATGGAGAGAAGGTATGTCGGGGATGGAGAAGGTATGTCGGGGATGGAGAAGGTATGTCGGGGATGGGGAAGGTATGTCGGGGATTGGGATGGGGAAGGTATGTCGGGGACGGGAATGGGGAAGGTATGTGTGGGATTGGGATGGGGAAGGTATGTCGGAGAGATTGGGATGGGGAAGGTATATCGGGGATGGGCAAGGTATGTCAGAGATGGGGAAGGTATGTCGGAGATGGGGATGGGGAAGGTATGTCGGAGATGGAGAAGGAATGTCAGAGATGGGGATGGAGAAGGTATGTCAGAGATGGGGATGGGGAAGGTATGTCGGAGATGAGGGGGGGATGGTATGTCAGGGATCAGGAAGGTATGTCGGAGATGGAGAAGGTATGTCGGGGATTGGGATGGGGAAGGTATGTCGGAGATGGAGAAGGTATGTTGGGGATTGGGATGGAGAAGGTATGTCGGAGATTGGGATGGGGAAGGTATATCGGGGATGGGGAAGGTATGTCAGAGATGGGGGATGGGGAAGGTATGTTGGGGACGGGAATGGGGAAGGTATGTCGGGGACGGGAATGGGGAAGGTATGTCTGGGATTGGGATGGGGAAGGTATGTCGGGGACGGGGATGGAGAAGGTATGTCGGGGATGGAGAAGGTATGTCGGGGACGGGATGGAGATGGAGAAGGTATGTCGGGGACGGGGATGGAGAAGGTATGTCGGGGACGGGGAAGGAGAAGGTATGTTGGGGACGGGGAAGGTATGTCGGAGATGGGGATGGGGAAGGTATGTCGGAGATGGAGAAGGTATGTCAGAGATGGGGATGGAGAAGGTATGTCAGAGATGGGGATGGAGAAGGTATGTCAGAGATGGGGAAGGTATATCGGGGATTGGGATGGGGAAGGTATGTCGGAGATGGGGAAGGTACGTCAGGGATTGGGATGGGGGAAGGTATGTCGGAGATGGGGAAGGTATGTCGAGGATGGGGAAGGTATGTCGAGGATGGGGAAGGTATGTCAGAGATGGGGAAGGTATGTCGGGGACGGGAATGGGGAAGGTATGTCGGGGACGGGAATGGGGAAGGTATGTCGGGGATGGGGATGGAGAAGGTATGTCTGGGATTGGGATGGGGAAGGTATGTCGGAGATTGGGATGGGGAAGGTATATCGGGGATGGGGAAGGAATGTCAGAGATGGGGATGGGGAAGGTATGTCGGAGATGGGAGAAGGAATGTCAGAGATGGGGATGGAGAAGGTATGTCAGAGATGGGGAAGGTATATCGGGGATTGGGATGGGGAAGGTATGTCGGAGATGGGGAAGGTATGTCAGGGATTGGGATGGGGAAGGTATGTCGGAGATGGGGAAGGTATGTCAGAGATGGGGAAGGTATGTCGGGGACGGGAATGGGGAAGGTATGTCGGGGATGGGGATGGAGAAGGTATGTCTGGGATTGGGATGGGGAAGGTATGTCGGAGATTGGGATGGGGAAGGTATGTCGGGGATGGGGAAGGTATATCGGGGATGGGGAAGGTATATCGGGGATGGGGAAGGAATGTCAGAGATGGGGATGGGGAAGGAATGTCGGAGATGGAGAAGGAATGTCAGAGATGGGGATGGAGAAGGTATGTCAGAGATGGGGAAGGTATGTCGGAGATGGGGATGGAGAAGGTATGTCGGAGATTGGGATGGGGAAGGTATGTTGGGGACGGGGATGGAGAAGGTATGTCGGGGACGGGGATGGAGAAGGTATGTCGGAGATTGGGATGGGGAAGGTATGTTGGGGACGGGGATGGAGAAGGTATGTCGGGGACGGGGATGGAGAAGGTATGTCGGGGACGGGGATGGAGAAGGTATGTCGGGGACGGGGATGGAGAAGGTATGTCGGGGATTGGGATGGGGAAGGTATGTCAGGGATTGGGATGGGGAAGGTATGTCAGGGATTGGGATGGGGAAGGTATGTCAGGGATTGGGATGGGGAAGGTATGTCAGGGATTGGGATGGGGAAGGTATGTCGGAGATGGGGATGGAGAAGGTATGTCAGAGATGGGGAAGGTATATCGGGGATTGGGATGGGGAAGGTACGTCAGGGATTGGGATGGGGAAGGTATGTCGGAGATGGGGAAGGTATGTCGGAGATGGGGAAGGTATGTCGGAGATGGGGAAGGTATGTCGGAGATGGGGAAGGTATGTCAGAGATGGAGAAGGTATGTCAGAGATTGGGATGGGGAAGGTATGTCAGAGATTGGGATGGGGAAGGTATGTCGGGGATTGGGATGGGGAAGGTATGTCGGGGATTGGGATGGGGAAGGTATATCGGGGATGGGGAAGGTATATCGGGGACGGGGAAGGTATATCAGAGATGGGGATGGAGAAGGTATGTCAGAGATGGGGAAGGTATGTCAGAGATGGGGAAGGTATATCGGGGATTGGGATGGGGAAGGTATATCGGAAACTGAGATGGAAAAGGTATGTCGGGGACAGGGATGGGGAAGGTATGTCAAAGACGGGGATGGGGAAGGTATGTCGGGGACTGGGATGTGGAAGGTATGATGGGGATGGAGAAGGTATGTCAAAGACGGGGATGGGGAAGGTATGTCGGGGACTGGGATGGGGAAGGTATGTCAGGGACTGGGAAGGTATGTTGGGGATTGGGATGGGGAAGGCATGTTGGGGATTGGGATGGAGAAGGTATGATGGGGATGGAGAAGGTATGTCAAAGACGGGGATGGGGAAGGTATGTCGGGGACTGGGATGGGGAAGGTATGTCGGAGATGGAGAAGGAATGTCAGAGATGGGGATGGAGAAGGTATGTCAGAGATGGGGAAGGTATATCGGGGATTGGGATGGGGAAGGTATGTCGGAGATGGGGAAGGTATGTCGAGGATGGGGAAGGTATGTCAGAGATGGGGAAGGTATGTCGGGGGACGGGAATGGGGAAGGTATGTCGGGATGGGGATGGAGAAGGTATGTCAGAGATGGGGAAGGTATATCGGGGATTGGGATGGGGAAGGTATGTCGGAGATGGGGAAGGTATGTCGAGGATGGGGAAGGTATGTCAGAGATGGGGAAGGTATGTCGGGGACGGGAATGGGGAAGGTATGTCGGGATGGGGATGGAGAAGGTATGTCTGGGATTGGGATGGGGAAGGTATGTCGGAGATTGGGATGGGGAAGGTATATCAGGGATGGGGAAGGTATATCGGGGATGGGGAAGGTATGTCAGAGATGGGGATGGGGAAGGTATGTCGGAGATGGAGAAGGAATGTCAGAGATGGGGATGGAGAAGGTATGTCAGAGATGGGGAAGGTATGTCGGAGATGGGGATGGTATGTCAGGGATTGGGATGGGGAAGGTATGTCGGAGATGGAGAAGGTATGTTGGGGATTGGGATGGGGAAGGTATGTCGGAGATGGAGAAGGTATGTCGGGGATTGGGATGGAGAAGGTATGTCGGAGATTGGGATGGGGAAGGTATATCGGGGATGGGGAAGGTATGTCGGGGACGGGGATGGGGAAGGTATGTCGGGGACGGGGAATGGAGAAGGTATGTCGGAGATTGGGATGGGGAAGGTATGTCGGGGACGGGGATGGAGAAGGTATGTCGGGGACGGGGATGGAGAAGGTATGTCGGGGACGGGGATGGAGAAGGTATGTCAGGGATTGGGATGGGGAAGGTATGTCAGGGGGATTGGGATGGGGAAGGTATGTCGGAGATGGGGATGGAGAAGGTATGTCAGAGATGGGGATGGAGAAGGTATGTCAGAGATGGGGAAGGTATATCGGGGATTGGGATGGGGAAGGTATGTCAGGGATTGGGATGGGGAAGGTATGTCAGGGATTGGGATGGGGAAGGTATGTCGGAGATGGGGAAGGTATGTCGGAGATGGGGAAGGTATGTCGAGGATGGGGAAGGTATGTCAGAGATGGAGAAGGTATGTCAGAGATTGGGATGGGGAAGGTATGTCGGGGATTGGGATGGGGAAGGTATGTCGGAGATGGGGAAGGTATATCGGGGACGGGGAAGGTATATCAGAGATGGGGATGGAGAAGGTATGTCAGAGATGGGGAAGGTATGTCAGAGATGGGGAAGGTATATCGGGGATTGGGATGGGGAAGGTATATCGGAAACTGAGATGGAAAAGGTATGTCGGGGACAGGGATGGGGAAGGTATGTCAAAGACGGGGATGGGGAAGGTATGTCGGGGACTGGGATGGGGAAGGTATGATGGGGATGGAGAAGGTATGTCAAAGACGGGGATGGGGAAGGTATGTCGGGGACTGGGATGGGGAAGGTATGTCGGGGACTGGGATGGGGAAGGTATGTCGGGGACTGGGATGGGGAAGGTATGTCGGGGATTGGGATGGGGAAGGTATGTTGGGGATTGGGATGGGGAAGGCATGTTGGGGATTGGGATGGAGAAGGTATGTTGGGGATGGGGAAGGCATGTCAGGGATTGGGATGGGGAAGGTATGTTGGGGATGGGGAAGGTATGTTGGGGATGGGGAAGGTATGTCAGGGATTGGGATGGAGAAGGTATATAGGGGACGGGGAAGGTATGTCAGGAATAGGGATAAAGATGGTGACACGGGATGAGACATCCTATGAATTATGAGGCAGTGATGTATAGTCACACTCGCCGTGTCAGTGGAAGAATCTGCGGAGAGGTCACCAATGATGGAAGCAGCACACACAGGGAACGCAGTGGGAGGAGCATCCATCACACACAGACAACGGGGCCCGGGGCCCCTCCTTACCTCCTGAAGGTATTTCCAGCATCAACCGGCTGCTCCACCCTGAGATCTGCCTCCCCCTCCTCATAGCCTTGTAATGACATCATACTCCAGCAGCCAATCAGCATCCTGCTGCAGATTAAAGGGACATACACATGCAGTGTCAGGTGACGTCAGTCGGCTTGGTTGGTGTCGGATTGATGAACCCTCTGAGGGACATTCACACCCCAATACAGGAAGACCAAGCAAAGTCTTTGTTTCAATCTCCTAGTAATGGTTGCTAGGGGTAACAGTCCATTCCTCCCAGTCCAATGAAAGAGTGGGAAGTGTATCACTGTGTACTGTAACCATGGCTGACAGCCAATCAGATTCCTTCTCTCACCTAGTATGCACAGCTGAGGATTATCAGCTACAATGTGATTGGTCCAAAGCTTTGCCAGCTCCGCCCTTTAGTCCTGAGTACAGCATTGTGGGCGGAGTCACAGGGGACAGTAAGAGAAGTTTGGAGTCTCCAACATCGGTCACACACGGTCCAATCAGTGTACAATCTCAATACTTAGAAGGTCGCCCACATATCACTCCCTCCAATCATATTGTACGGAGGGGGGGACACAGGGCGCTACTCCCCCTCCCGCAGACTGTCACCGGGAACCACCAGCCCGTGCACACCGCAGAAGAACCACACCTCAGCTCCGCCCAACCCCCCTCCCATTACACCGCCCCCGAGCTGATGGCAGGGAGTGCGGGAAAAGTAGCGTAGAGGTCACGTGCTCACTGGTGCCAGGAAACAAACTTCGCCCGCCGCCGTGTGCTACGCGGTGACGTCACTCAGCCGTCTGCCATCTTGGTACTCCTTGTCACCATGCCGGCCGGATCGGAGAAGGAGTCGGAGTTATCGGAGCGGATCGAAGCTTTCATCACCGGCCTGAAGAGGGGGGGAGGGCGCCCGAGCTCGGAGGAAGACCGCCCGAGAGACTGTGGGCCTTCTTCGCCGTATTATCGCTCAGGCCAGATGGGGCAACGCGGGTGAGAGCCTCACTGGCCAGCGGGGGTACATTGGGGTCTAGAGTTACCACCTCATCCCTTTAAAACCGGTTCTGGGGGCCAATCTAAAGCAGATAAATGACTTTAATTCCCACCGTAGTCAGCCGCAGAGCTGCGTCAGTCGTAGGAGTTGGTGTAGGCCCCGGTCACACCTGAGCGACTTTTAGCGCCAAGCTCCATAACGATCAGGGAGAGAAAAAATCAGTATGACTCCATGGAGATGTTCGCACCTCCATTCCGAGTCGCCTGAGGCTCAGAAACGGTTTGGGGATTCCTTTGTTGCTCCATTCGGACAGACTGATGCCTTTTAATTCCTGGAAACGCACAAATCACACGTTTTGTCGGCATGGCAACAATCGATGCCATGGCAACAATCGATGCGGCAGATGAAAAATTTTCTCTATTGGCTAATACAAAATTTGTCAGAATTCAAAAAAGCCCCAAAACGCCTGGACAGATCGCATCGAACGTTCGCAGACGTGCATAAAAATGCACAAACGCTACGCTCACGTGTGAATGGGGCTTATAAGGGATGAGGTGGCAACCCTAATGGGGTCACTGTTCTGGGATGACGGGGACAGCAGGGTCACCGTCTGGGATGATGGGACAGCGGGGTCACCGTCGTGATGAGGATAGTCAATGGGTTTATTCAAGGGATGAGGACAGACCGCAGGTCACCTTGGTAACGAAAGGATGATGACGTCACCTCCAGACAAAGATGGACAGTGGGGTTACCCCAAGGATGAAGGGGAACAGTGGGGTCACCCAGGGATAAGTATGGACATTGTGTGGGGGGGGGGGGGGGGGAGGAGGCCTGCAACAAGTGTGGATGGTGCGTCACCCCTCGTAATGAGGGACGATGATGTCACATATGGGACGAGGATGGATGTTGGGGACACCCCGGAATAAGTATGGACATTGTTGGGGGGAGGCCTGTAACAAGTGTGGATGGCGCATCACCCCTCGTAATGAGGGACAATGACATCACATGTGGGATGAGGTTGGATGGTGGGGACACCCTGGGATAAGTACAGACATTGTTGGGGGGGGGGGTGCTTGTAACAAGTGTGGATGGTGCGTCATCCCTCGTAATGAGGGACAATGACATCACATGTGGGATGAGGATAGATGGTGGGGACACCCGGGATGAGTATGGACATTGTTGGGGGGGGAGGCCTGTAACAAGTGTGGATGGCACGTCACCCCTCGTAATGAGGGACAATGATGAGGTCACATGTGGGACGAGGATGGATGATGGGGTCACCCCCAGAATGAAGGTGGACAGTGGAGTCACCCCTGGGATAAGTTTGGACGTTTTGGGGGGGGGCCTGTAACAAGTGTGGATGGTGGCCACCCCTCCTAATGAGAGAGAATGAGGGTCACCTGCGGGACAAAGATGGATGGCAGGATCACGTGGATGATGGCGGATGTTGGGGGGAGGGGTGCCCTGTAATAAGGGAGGGAACCCCTGTAACGATGGTGAATGGCAGGTCAACCTCATGACAAGGAAGGATGATGGGGTGACCCCCAGGATAAGCATGGACGGGAGGCTCACCTCCAGGATAAGGATAAATAGTGGCATGTCACCCCCATGAGGAGAGCTAATAGTGGGGTCACCTCTGGGTTCAATGGGGGCACCCTGTAATGGGGGTGGCGGGTTAGCCACAAGATGAGGACAAACTGGGTCACCTCTGGAAAGAAGGCAGATGGCCAGTCACCCCCATGACAAGGGAGGATGGCAGGATCACCCCCAGAATAAGAGTAGACAGCAGGATCACTAGCAGTATGAGGGCAGATGATGGGGGGGGGGGGGTGTACCCCTCTGTATTGAGGGCAGACAGCAGGTCGCCCCCCTGTGAAGAGGGAGGAAAAGCAGGGTCACTCCCCAGGAAGAGGGCAAACAATTTGTTCACCCCCGCAATGAGGACAGATGGCAGAGAGCCCTCCCTGGGATTAGTAAAGATGATGGGGTCACCCCTGGGATGTATGGTGATGATGGTGTCACCCCCAGGATTGGGGTTGTACAATGGGCAGTTGGGTCTCCACTTGTGTAACGTCTCTTGTTCCCCCAGGAGAATGATGGACATTATCCGGAGGGAGGGAAGAAGGATGACGGCTGCACAGCCTTCGGAGACCACCGTAGGGAACATGGTGCGCCGGGTGCTGAAACTCATCCGTGAGGAATACGGCAGGTGAGGAACCTCCATCATGCTGCCGAGCACACTGTGCTAGGAGGTGCCAGAGAAGGAAATTGAAGTCATGGGATGAGCATGATGGCTCCATATTCATGCAGAAAGTTTCACATACGACCCTGTACAGCTGGTGCTTTACCATCACAGGAGAGGGGTCGTTATTATTGCAGCCTCGTAGATTTCACCATGAGCCTCATTACCTGACAGGTAGTCGGTGCATAACTTCTAGGTAATATGACTGAATCTCCTAGACCTCTCCCCCCATGGTGTAATGGTATATAAATGCTGGCACTTGTCCACTGGCTGTACAATCCTTTTATTAAAGCACAGGGTAAAATCCACCGATAAGACAGTACTGACATGTTTCAGCCAGGAAAGGCCTTAGTGCCAGGTCACATATATATGTGGTTTGGTTGCGGTTTGAACCACAGCCAATCCGCATGAAATGTGAAATAACATTGCTTCCTATGGTGCTTGTTCACATATGTCCGGTGCACTAGCGGTTGCAGTTTGAAAAAGAGTCATGTGTGATTTCTGAGCAGTGCGTTCTGGTTCAGGTGTGGATTACAGGCTTCTATTGGAACCGTTTCTAAACCGCATATGTGTGAACAGGATGAAATCCTGACCTGAACCTGGTGTAAACCTGACATGAAATGCTGAACAACTACTGTGTAAATTAGCTGTAAAATCTGAGCTTCAATCCGCACCGCACATGTGTGAATCAGCTCTTAGTCATAGAATGCTAACACGGTCTTAATCTGTGATTTTACCCATGATTTACCCCCCCCCGGCGGTATTCCCGAGTGTACCGAGAAGCAGTAACCCCGAGCTACACTTGGGATTACCCTGCAACGTTGCTTTGGGATCCCGCCAGCAGTTACATTGTCCTGCGCTCCCGCAATTTCCCCCTGCAGCGTCCCCGGCCATCTTCTCTGGCCGATGCCGTCTTTGGGGTTCCGTTCCCTGGTAGCATCGGAACATATGGGGGACAGATCCGGGCGGGAAATTTAAAAATGTGATATTCACTAAATACACTAAAAATCACATAGTATAACATTCCTGTATTAAACCATTTCACATACATTTTGTCCCGAGTGCTTTGTCCGGCGCCCTGCCTGCATTTTTTACTGTTCTTTCTGCCTGGAAGCTGAGAAACGTCCATGGCGTCCAAAAAAGCGTCCCTTTAGGTCAAAAGCGGTTTTAGACCGGCTAGAGAACAGCGATAGTAAATTAGAACCACTTGCAGAATTGAGTGATAATGATTCGTGGGGGAAATTCGTCATCAGACACTGAAATCGATTCTGCAACGGAGCTCAACGATGTGCGAACTTGGCGCTATATATTTCACATTTCAGTGTTTTTGGTTTGATTATATTATTTAATTCAATTTATTTATATTATTTTTTATGATTATTTATTTTATTATGATTTTGTGTTTCAAAGTTTATTATACCTGGGATGTTTACTAGACTCTTGTTCGGACAGATTACAGTGAATTATTCCTAAAAATTACAGGCCTACAATAAAAAAAACAACATATTTGCATGCAAAAAAAATTGTGTACCGCTTTGAGCACAGAAATACTGACATAATCAGACTGCTAAGGAGGTTAATAGAGGATTGTACAGCCCATGGCTGCTGACTGCCAGTTTTTATATACAGTCATGGCCGAAATTGTTGGCACCCTTGATATTTTTCCTGAAAATCAAGTATTTCACACAAAAAAGGTATTGCATTAACACATGTTTTGCTATACACATGTTTATTCCCTTTGTATGTATTGGAACAAATATAAAACAGAGGCAGAAAAGCAAAAATATGACATAATGTACACAAAACCCCAAAAATGGGCTGGACAAAAGTATTGGCACCCTTAACTTAATATTTGGTTGCACACCCTTTGGAAAACATAACTGAAATCAGTCGCTTCCTATAACATCAATAAGCTTCTGACACCTCTCACCCGGAATTTTGGACCACTCTTCCTTTGCAAACAGCTCCAGGTCTCTCTTATTGGAAGGACACCTTTTCCCAACAGCAATTTTAAGATCTCTCCACAGGGTGTTCAATGGGATTTAGATCTGGGCTCATTGCTGGCCACTTCAGAACTCTCCAGCGCTTCTTTGCCATCCATTTCTGAGTGCTTTTTGACGTATGTTTGGGGTCATTGTCCTGCTGGAAGACCCAGGATCTTGGACGCAAACCCAGCTTTCTGACACTGGGCCCTACAGTGCGACCCAAAATCCTTTGGTAATCCTCAGATTTCATGATGCCTTGCACACAGTCAAGGCACCCAGTGCCAGAGGCAGCAAAACAACCCCAAAACATCATTGAACCTCCACCATATTTTACCGTAGGTACTGTGTTTTGTTCTTTGTAGGCCTCATTCCGTTTTCGGTAAACAGTAGAATGATGTGCTTTACCGAAAAGCTCTATCTTGGTCTCATCTGTCCACAAGACGTTTTCCCAGAAGGCTTTTGGCTTACTCAAGTACATTTTGGCAAACTGTAGTCTTGCTTTTTTATGTCTCTGTGTCAGCAGTGGGGTCCTCCTGGGTCTCCTGCCATAGCGTTTCATTTCATTTAAATGTCGACGGATAGTTCGCGCTGACACTGATGCTCCCTGAGCCTGCAGGACAGCTTGAATGTCTTTGGAACATGTTTGGGGCTGCTTATCCACCATCCGGACTATTCTGCGTTGCAATCTTTCATCAATTTTCCTCATCCGTCCACGACCAGGGAGATTAGCTACAGTGCCATGGGTTGCAAACTTCTTGATAATGTTGCGCACTGTGGACAAAGGCAAATCTAGTTCTCTGGAGATGGACTTGTAACCTTGAGATTGTTGATATTTTGCCACAATTTTGGTTCTCAGGTCCTCAGACAGTTCTCGTCTCCTCTTTCTGTTGTCCATGCTTAGTGTGGCACAGACAGACACACAATGCAAAGGTTAAGTGAACGTCTCTCCTTTTTATCTGCTTTCAGGTGTGATTTCTATATTGCCCACACCTGTTACTTGCCCCAGGTGAGTTTACAGGAGCATCACATGCTTGTAACATTCTTATTTATCCGCAGTTGTGAAAGGGTGCCAATACTTTTGTCCAGCCCATTTTTGGAGGTTTGTGTGACATTATGTCGAATTTGCTTTCTTTCCTCCCTTTTTTTTTGTTTTGTCCCAATACACACAAAGGGAATAAACATGTGTATAGCAAAACATGTGTTAATGCAATACGTTTCGTGAGAAATACATGATTTCCTGGAGAAATATCAAGGGTGCCAACAATTTCGGCCATGACTGTATAGTCTGTTTGGAGGGTATATGGGAGCTTCAGCTGCAGTACTGTCACCTGCACACTGATATCAGATCCACCTGGGTTGAGTTTTTTGGAGAGTCCTATGGTATGGTACTGCCTTCACAAGCTGTGGGTGCTAATAGTGCTGCGTTCATGGGGTATTTGTCATGTGAACTTCCCCAGAAGTTGGAAATAACAGCTTTGGGCTGTTGCAATGCACTTCAGTGCAAGTTCCTCCTCCATGGGGGTATTGTGATTGGTTCTTGGCACTTGTGCCTGTGAACAAGTTGAGGTGTGAGCTTCCAAGATAACACGCTCAAAGTACTATCCATTCGGCAGCACATAAATGCACCATACGACCTGTCCTATCTATCTGACCACACGTGAGTGCAGCATGTGATCTGCTCCGTATATCCGACCACACGAGAATACATATGATCTATCCAACTACACAGAAGCGAGGCATATGATGCATCCTATATATCTGACTGCACATGACCATAGGATATGATCCTTCCTGTCCGACTGCACGTCCATTCCATCCACCCGACCACACATGATCTGTCGCATCTATCCAACTGCATGTAAACACAGCCTATAGTCCATCCCATCTATCCAACCTCAAGTGAATGCAGCAAATGAGCTGTCCTTATCTATGTGAATGCAGCATATGATTTATCTCCTCTGTCTAACTGCCTGTAAATGCAACATTTGATCCATTACATCTATCCGACTGCACGCGTAAACAGTATATGATCCCTCCCATCAATCCAACCACATGTAAAAGCAACAAATGATTTGTCCAATGTATATGCCCGAGTGATCGTACCCCTGAAGGCATGCATGCGCACGAAACACGTCGGGTGGAGCCGCACTTGCTGACGTCACGCCGCCATTGCCGAAAGTTGGAAAGGCGGACATCTTGGTACTCCATTTTACCTTCATTCTTGTTTCCACATGGATTGTCTTTTTATTCATTATTTAATAAAATACTACACTACAGGTGAAACTTGAAAAATTAGAATATCGTGCAAAAGTTCATTTATTTCAGTTATGCAACTTAAAAGGTGAAACTAATATATGAGATAGACTCATTACATGCAAAGCAAGATAGTTCAAGCCGTGATTTGTCATAATTGTGATGATTATGGTTTACAGCTCATAAAAAACCCCAAATCCACAATCTCAGAAAATGAAAATATTGCATGCAATCAATAAAACAAGGATTGTACATAGAACAATATCGGACCTCTGAAAAGTAGAAGCATGCATATGTACTCAGTACTTGGTTTGGACTCATTTTGCAGCAATTACTGCCTCAATGCGGCGTGGCATGGAAGCTATCAGCCTGTGGCACTGCTGAGGTGTTATGGAAGACCAGGATGCTTCAATAGCGGCCTTCAGCTCTTCTGCATTGTTCAGTCTCATGTCTCTCATCTTTCTCTTGGCAATGCCCCATAGATTCTCTATGGGGTTCAGGTCAGGCGAGTTTGCTGGCCAATCAAGCACAGTAATCCCACGGTCATTGAACCAGGTTTTGGTGCTTTTGGCAGTGTGGGCAGGTGCCAAGTCCTGCTGGAAAATGAAGTCAGTCAGCATCCCCATAAAGCTCATCTGCGGAAGGAAGCATGAAGTGCTCCAAAATCTCCTGGTAGACGGTTGCGGTGACCCTGGACTTAATGAAGCACAGTGGACCAACACCAGCAGATGACATGGCTCCCCAAATCAACACAGACTGTGGAAACTTCACACTGGACTTCAAGCATCCTGCAGTGTGTGCCTCTCCATTCTTCCTCCATACTCCGGGTACTTGGTTTCCAAATGAGATGCAAAGGTTGCTCTCATCAGAATAGAGGACTTTGGACCACTGAGCAACAGACCAGGTCTGTTTTTCTTTCGCCCAGGAGCAGCTTGACAAGAGGAATATGACATTTGAAGCCCATATCCAGGATCTGTCTGTGTGTGGTGGCTCTTGATGCACTGACTCCAGCCTCAGTCCACTCCTTGTGAAAGTCCCCAACAATTTTGACTGGCCTTTTCCTGACAATCCTCTCCAGGCTGCGGTCATCCCTGCTGCTTGTGCACCTTTTTGTTCCACACTTTTCCCTTCCACATAACTTTCTATTAATGTGCTTTGATACAGCACTTTGGGAACATCCAACGTCTTTTGCAATTACCTTTTGAGGCTTTCCCTCCTTATGGAGGGTGTCAATGATGGTTTTATGCACAACTGTCAGGTCAGCAGTCTTTCCCATGATTGTGATTTCTACTGAACCAGACTGAGAGACCATTTAAAGGCTCAGGAACCCTTTGCAGGTGTTATGGCTTAATTAGCTGATTAGAGTGGGACACTTTGAGCCGAGAATTATTATTATTATACAGTATTTATATAGTGCTAAAAGCTTTGCTCAGCGCTGTACATTATAGTGGGGGACAGAACATGAGACAATACAGTAACAAAACAAAACACAAGGGGTTCAAGGGCCCTGCTCTTTCGAGCTTACAATCTAGGAATATTGCACCTTTTCATAACTCTAATTTTCTGAGATTGTGGATTTGGGGTTTTCTTGAGCTGTAAGCCGTAATCACAATTATGACAAATCACGACTTGAACTATCTTGCTTTTGCATGTAATGAGTCTATCTCATATATTAGTTTCACCTTTTAAGTTGCATTACTGAAATAAACGAACTTTTGCACGATTCTCTAATTTTTCGAGTTTCACCTGTATATACTACTTTGGCTCCTGTGGTGAGCTATTCCTCATAGGAGAGGGTCCACCTGCGTTTTTGCCCTTGGCTGAGCATCCATTGCAGTGGCTTCATTGCTGTTACCCGTACTCAGAGATGTGCTTACATACCAGTAGATGTCTGGTGAGTGTACATCTGTCAGAGCTGGTGGATTCCCTATTGGATCACTTCACAATATTTCATCGTGATTGTTGTACTTTTATCCCTACGGACAATTTATAGCTTACTCCACTGATATGTTATGGAATTTATATAGTCTCACTTTACTGTGTCACATTTATTGAACATTTTTTTTATATTTGATTTTTATATGCTGCACTCGCCTGTTCCGCTGATCAATTTTTTATTTTTTTTTTTGTTATATGTCAGATTGACTTTGCACTTTATTTTCACTATAATATCATTCACTTAGTTTAGCGTTGCATTTTCTATATATTTATCTATAAGGAGTTGTTACCTATACCTTGGTGCTAGCTGCTTTATAGTTCCAGCACTCGCCTATGCTTGATATTTATATATGCCTGCACGTAAATGCAGCATATGAGCCGTTGCATCTATCTGACTGCATGTGAACACAGCATGATACTTATCCCATCTATCTGACAACCACGCATGAAAGCAGAATATGATCCATCCCATCTATTCAATCCCACATGAGCGATGCATGTGATCCATCCCATCTATCTGACTGCATGTGAACACAGCATGATACCTATCCCATCTATCCGACAACCACACATGAACGCAGAATATGATCCGTCCCATCTATCCAATCGCACATGAGCGATGCATATGATCCATCCCATTTATCTGACTGCATGTGAACACAGCACATGGTCCATCTCACATTGCAATGTCACAATGCTCTTCACCCTCAGTCCTCCTTAACAAAGGACAGCAGGATGTCATCCAGCATCATCCACCCACTTCCTGCCTGCATTGGGTGTCATGGACACACCTTCTCTTGTCTTAGATAATCGGGTGTTACCATGTATCAGTACAAATATGCGTGCAGGTCGTAGGCTCCTGTATCATGGGGAAGACACATGATCACAAATTCTCTGAGGTTCTTAAGATATGAACATAAATATAACTCAATAGGAGGACAGAAGGCGAATAGGATTGCACTGTTAGGCTTCATGGAATTTGGAGGCAACGAAAAAAATATAGCATTTGCAGAGTAATCAGGAGGAGGAGTCAGGGACAGTAAGAATGGGAGATATACATTAAAGGGACCCAGTCTATACAACAAAGACCTCTAAAACCATGCAAATAATGGTCCAACAGGCTAAGGTCCAGTACTTTCTGCCTCCTCTACATTCCTATTGGCCACTGGGGCAGCTCATGATAGCAGTGGGCCCAGAAGGAATGAGTGGGTGCAGGACTTTTGCTGCTCAGAAATGCCAAAGCTCTGCTTGTCAGACTAACCCACCAATCAGCATTTGTGTTCCTTTAAATGTCCTGCAATGTTTTGGACTGAGTATTCACAGTACTATGCATACGCAGAGAAAGGTCAGACATATGGCCATGTTTTTTCAGTAATTGAGTCTTTCCATTGATTTGTGGCGGGTCACCTAATGGGTGTCCATCTTGTGCGCAGGTTGCGTGGCTGCAGTGAGGAGAATGATCAGCAGGACTCTCTCCACAAGCTGGTGATGGTGGAGGGACAGAGTGAGGACTTCAACACTTTCTTCCCACTGCTGAAGGCCAATGTGATTGAAGCTGTAAATGAGCTGCTCGTTGAACTGGGTAATGGTCTGCCATTGTGTCTGAACATCTCCCACCACTATGTCTGTTTCTGATTGGTCAATGTCTCCCGGCAGAGGGTACCACTGACAACATCGAAACTCAGGCCAAGGAACACATCCATTCCAACGAGGTGATCATGACGATTGGTAGTTCACAAACTGTGCTGCGTTTTCTGAAGGAAGCTGCTCGTAAGAGGATATTCCATGTTATAGTGGCTGAGTGCGCCCCCTTCTGTCAGGTAAGTAGAGCAGACTCTACATTTAAGGTAGGTCATCTACTCCCCACCACTGACACTTCCTGTTTTTAGGGTCACGAAATGGCAGTCAGTTTGGCCAAAGCGGGAATAGAGACTACAGTCATCACAGATGCTGCCATCTTTGCAGTCATGTCCCGTGTGAATAAGGTGAATAGAGGGAGGGGTGATGTGAATCTCACCAGATCTATGCGTGGCAGGTAAATGTAATTCCTTTTCTCTCAGGTTATTATAGGCACCAAGACCATCCTGGCTAACGGCTCCCTACGCGCAGTGTCCGGGACGCATGCATTGGCCCTGGCCGCAAAGCATCACTCCACTCCGCTCATAGTGTGCGCGCCCATGTTCAAACTGTCACCACAGGTACATTCTGAGTGTGGGGAATGGTGGTAATAATAGCAGTTTCTGTAACCCCATCTACCGTTAGTATCTCAGGCTTGTCCTTCCCTCAGTGTGTCAGTTTGTGAGTTTCCTCCCTCACTCTGTATGGCTCCGCCCTTGCCACGTGTCAGTTTGTGCACCTCCTTCTTCGTCATGTATCAAGTTTGTGTCTCCCCCTTTGCTGTGTGTGGCCCCCTCCATCCCCTTCTGAGTCACTTTGGGCAATCTCATCCTGTACTTTATATGTGGCCCCTCCTTCATTCTCTGTAATAAGTCTCTCTGGCTCCTCCCTTACTTTGTGGCCCCACCCTCATTCTGTCAGTTTGTTTGGATCCTCCCTTGCTTGATATGGCCTCCTCCCTCATCCTGTCAGTTTGTCTGGATCCTCCTCTGCTTTATGTAACCCCTCCCTCACCATCTGGCTGCTCCCTCACTGTGTTGCCCCTCCCTCACCCTTGATGTCAATTCATGTGCTTCTTTGCTTGCGGTGTGTGGGTCCTCCCTCACCCTCTGTTCCAGTTTGTGTCAGGTGGCTCCTCCCACCTTGTGCTCATTGGAAGGGGATGAATGTTGGTGATAACAGTACCATCTTTTCCCTTCTTCAGTTCCCCAATGAAGAAGACTCCTTCCACAAGTTTGTGTCTCCACAGGAAGTGCTTCCATTCTCGCAAGGTAGGGGGCGCTCTTCTCAGCTCCCCAGCTGCACTGTGTATATCGGGAGTAACACGTCTTTTCTCTGCAGGTGAGATCCTGTCCAAAGTCAGTGCTCATTGTCCCATCTTTGACCATGTCCCTGCGGAGCTGATCACATTGTTCATAACCAATATCGGAGGGAACGCTCCATCGTATATTTACCGTCTGATGAGTGAACTCTACCACCCTGCAGACAACGACCTGTGACACTGATGTCCGTGCACTCAAACACACAAAAGACAATTTAAGAAATAAATATTTTATTGTATATTTAAGTCTCCACCTCAGCCTGCGAGTGTTGTGTATCTGGATAAGTCTCTGCTCCGATTGGCTGTTCCATGCATGAAGATGACCCCGCCAAGCGCTTCCAGGCCTTGTAGTGGTGCCGTAGACGACTCAAGTTGGGCTTTAGAGTAACCTGATGGTAGAAAGAATAGTTAGAGCAGATCTTGGGATCCGATGTCCAGTCTGCCTATTCACCTGCTGTTGGCTGGGCTCTAAATTCCCAAATTTTACAGTGATTTCTGCATCATCCATTGAGGGACACAGAAATTCATAAACAGTCGGGTTATACTTCTGGCTCTGGGAGATTGGGATACCACAAAGAGAATCATTAGCCAACCCTTATATTAATCTACTGCCCTAGGAGGTTGGATGCCTTCACCTCTGCTGGGAAACATTTTACCTATTCTTTTGCTAGTCTTACAACTATGTGCTTTGTTTTTTCTTCTTTCTATGATGACTTCAATCACAGTTCCTTGCTACGGCTGCTTGAACTGGCCCCTATAACACAGCTATCTACTAAGCAACTCATTCACTCCCTTATCATATCACAACTTAACTACTGTAAGTCCCTCCTCACCGGACTACCTCACCACAGGCTATCCCCGCTTCAGTCGATCCTGAATATTGCGTCCAGACTCATCCACCTTACCAACAGCTCTGTATCCGCCACCCCCCTCTGCCAATCCCTCCACTGGCTTCCGATTGCCCAAATGGATCAAATTCAAAATGCTAACACTGATGTACAAAGCTGTCCATAATACTGCCCCAAACTACATCACCAACCTAATATCCAAATACCACCCAAAACGCACTCTCCGCTCCTCACAAGACCTCCTCTCTAGTTCCCTGGTTTCCTCCTCCCATGCCCACCTCCAGGGCTTCCCCTCCCTATCCCAATCTATCAGACGTTCACCTACTCTCCTCTCGGCGCACCCTGAAAACCCACCTCTTCAGGGAAGCCTACCTAGCCCTCAGCTAATTGCCGATCTCCTCCACTCTTCCTATCACTCCATCCCCCACAGCTATTTCCTCCTGTACCACTATCCCCTCCCTCCTAGATTGTAAGCTCCAAGGAGCAGGGCCCTTGAACCCCTCGTGTATCGCATTGTATTGTTATTGTACTGTCTTGTGTATTGTCTCCCATTGAAATGTACAGCGCTGAGCGAACTGTTGGCGCTATATAACTACTGTATAATAATAATATAGATTGGCATTCCTTCAGTACCGGCTGATTTTCAATCTATGGGTTAGCTGGGTCTATCATTCGACTTGGGTACAAGGAGGCTGTCAGACAGCAATACTGATCATTGTACAGAATACAATAGCACCACAGGAGCGATCTCCTCCATCCACCTCAAATGTGTGCATGGGGGAATTGGCTTTTTTTTTTTTTTTTTTTTTTTTTTTTTGTTAAAAAAAAACAAACAATCTATAATGTATGGTCAGCCTAACTCACATTCAGGCTGCAGGGCTGGCAAACACAGGTCTGCAAACCCCTCTGATAGGCTTTCTGTATGAAAGTGTGCCACCACTTCTGTAACTGGGGTGCTACATGTACATCAAGACAGGTTCTTGGGTAGTTTGCTTCCCTGGAATTTTGATGCTCAGGCCACCCACTTTAGCCCTTTTGGCTACCTTCTTGTGCCTGGCATCTTCTTCAGCTGCCCCTCATCCTTCTTTTGCAACTAATATTCTGCAGTGTGTCTTTCAAGATCTTCCTGGGTTTCCCGTACTCTGAGACCCTTGTTCCTTTGTACTGTAGGTCAGAACTTACCGACAGTAGCTGTATCCCATCCAGAATTATACTCCCTTGTGCAGCAGCATGCTATTACAGCCCTTAAGATTGTTTCTACACCTCAGCATGCCTCCTCTCTGGAGGAATCCCCTAATTTACAGAGTGGACCAGTACCAGTTCCTACTTTTCTTAATAAGGGAGAAAAGATACATTTTTTTGGGAGGTAAAAATAAAATGCACAATTATTTATTTGGAGCCTGCAGGGCATTGCGCACTCAATCAGTAGATCGCAGGTGCAGTGCAGGGATCCTGCAGGCTGTCAGTGTAAGCTATCTGATTGTACCTTGTATGGGCAGGCACTTGCACAATGAAAGAATCAATGAACTACCTAAAGTACGCACTAGCACCCTGGTAATTCATCGAAACGTACAAGCTGTCAGCCACAATGGCTGTCAGTAGGTGTAGTTCTCCCATTCACAGAACTGTGAATGAATGACATGGCCGGGTAGGCGGAGCCCTGCACCTCTGTGGTTTTTTTTTTTTTTTTTGTTTTTTTTTTCTTCATTTAAATTGTGACAGTGGGGGCAAATTGAGGCTGAGAGCTGCAGCAGCTGGAACGTGTTACATGTTCTACCCTAAAAGCAGGTGAAACATGTAACGTGTTTCTGAAGGTGAACTTATCCCATATGTATTGTAAGACCTGTACCTCCGGAGAAGGTTTGGGAGTTCTCCCTGTATCAGATGCAGCTGAGAGTGCTGTTCTCAGCCACATGCTGACTCTGATGTGCCTTTTACCATTTAATTTTCCTCAACTACTAGTCTCTTCTGCAGAAAGAAGTTTGCAAACCTAGGTGTGCCTCTTCTACTGCATTTCTTCAGAAAGACACCATCATTGGAAGACCCTTTGTTCCCCTGGATTGTCAGCAGATGGCTACTGCTGAAGGCACTCCCTGCTGTGCATAGAGTATGTGCAGAAGCCTTTGTGTTACCAGATTGACTGACTGGGGTTAGGTTCTTTTTTTTTTTTTTTGACTGTTCAGTAGCCTTTTGTGGAAGCTTCTCCACATCCATTTGTTTTTATTCAGTCAGCTCAGTGCTCTTACTTTGACCTTGGAGGGGTACTTGTTACACACCCAACCTCCTATATTCAGTCAACTTGAATTTAGGGTTGTACCCCTGAGTTGTTACTATTCTCAGGGGTTTGGCTATCCATAGGGATGTTGTTCTATGAGGTCTGGGATACCGCATAAGGCTAGGTTCACATAGGTGCGGCTGTGGATCCACGTGAATACTCGTGCAGCCGCACGGGAATGCGGACCCACAGGCAGGTGCCATTACTTCTAATGGCATGCCCCCAGCACTGGAAATCGCAGCCGTACTGGGAACCGAGGTTCCTGTGCAGGCTGCGTTTTTCAGACGAATTGCAGGGACTTCTTCTCTACGGGGCACGGGAGTCCATTCAAATGAATGGGCTCTCGTGCCCATGTAAACCACAGCCCGCACCTATGTGAACCAGAGGTAGATGGATTGTCTGGCCAGGCACTCCTTAGTGTGATACTTTCTTTCATCTTTAAATTGCAGGGGTTGGGAGAGTAAGGCTTGGGCTTTTTAGCATGTAGACCAACTGGTCTGCTATTGTGGACCTGTGTTTGTGATTAGCAACTTCTCCTGTTTTGTTGTGGACCTACCTGGGTATAACACTGGCTATTCCCTACCCCTCAGTTGGACTGCTTTTAGATGTCCTGACTGTGTTTGCAGTTTCTGTGTCCCTTAGACCAGAAGGAAAAACATTTTTTTTTTTGTTTTATTGTAAAATCTTATTCCTGGCATCCATTAAGGGCTCATTCACATGTACTACCATACATTTATTCAGAATTTTTAAAGCCTCGTAACTGCTCTTCAATGCCTGCCATAAATATTACAATGGGCACCCCATAGTGCTGTACACACAGCAGCAGTAGCTTTGTGTTGTAAATGTAAACAGCGTGTTGCTTTCTTAAGGTACTGAGGCTTGTCAGCTGCCTCCATTGGTTTCAATGGTAATGTTCTGTAACAGCACCTGTAGCATTTACAGAGTGTTCGTGAAATATTTATAAAGTTTTAGCTGGGAGAGGAGCAATGTAGGTTCCTGTATCCCAGAATGCCCTAGGACTCCATTGAAAACAGGGACAGCGCAGCTCCAGTCACTTCCTGTTTGGATAGATCAGCTGTATGCTAACACCATTTGCTTCTCGGTGCAGGCAAAGGCATTAAGCCAGCCAGTAATACTGACAGTGCCAGGCAGGAGAAGAGGCATTGAGCATTATTGCCAGTGCCAAAGCTTTTTGTGTCAGCAAAGCTGAGCTGGACCAAGCCAAAATCAAAACTACAAATCCATCCTTCAGAGAATTAAAAAAACAAAAATTTCTGCTTCACCCCACAACCTAACCGCATCTCAATACAGATCATTTTCTCTACATCACTTTCCACTAAAAAAAAAAAAAAAAAGAAAAAAAAAAGGGAACGCTTTCATGGGCATTTATCAACCATTCTTGAAACTTTTTCAATGCTTTAAGAACGTCATAAATGCCATAGGCGTGTTTGAGCATTGCTTCATTTTTCATGATCAACACACGTGTGAATGAGCCCAAAGGGTCACAGGTCATGGTCCTGTGTATTGTTTTCTCACAATACCAAGGCATGCTGGGTAGTGGAGGGAGTTATATTCGGAGCTGGCTTACAGTTTTTCTGTTAGCTATTGACCAACCCTCCTGAAAGTGACCAACCCTCCTGAAAGTGGCAGTATAACCCAACTGTTTCTGAATACCTGTGTCCATGATCTCCGAGAAAGTAAGTACAAAAATCCTATTAGTCACTTACTGGCCTAACTGAATCTATCAAGATTCCTTCCTGGTTATTAGAAGTGGATCAGCTCCTGGTCTAGTTAGCTTTACTGTGTTTTGGTACTGAGTGTTATGTTTCTAGGACTTTCATTTTCTCCAGATACAAGGCTTTAGGTTTGCAAGCTTAATATTCATTCCAGAACAAACTGAGCAGTAAGATACAATGTGTTGCTCCAGGGCCAGGACAAGGGGTGGGCAGGAAGGGCGGCTGCCCTGGTCACTGTGCTAGTATGTGGGGGGGGGGGGGGCACCACAGGAAGTTTGGGGGAGGTGATTTGTTTGGAAGGGGGAATTTTGGAGGGTTTGTGCTAGGAGGGGAATTTTTTTTTTGGGGGGCAGGGTGGGGGGTGATTTTTGATGGGGGTTTATGAGGAGGGAGAGAATTTGGGCGGAGGAGGGAGAGAATTTGGGCGGAGGAGGATTTCAGGAGGAGGCCAGAATTGTACTAGGAGGGAGGGGAAATTATGCTTAGGAGCCAAGCATGCAGATTAGTGCTTTTTTTTTGTGAGGGGAGGAATTTTTTCTGCCACAAAATGCTGACACATCTTGGGGAGGCGCAATCTGGCATGCTCGCCCTGAGCTCTAGATGACCTTGTCCCAGCATTTTGTAGCTCCCTTGGGTGGTGGGAGGCTAGTACAATACCTGGTCCTCCATCTGCACATGCCTCAGATCTGCGAGGGGAAGCATGACTGGTCTTCCATGTGCGCATTGGAAGGGCAGGGAACACTGTGCCAGACAACGCATCAGGAGTCTACACTCCTCCAAAGTCAAAGGATCATTAAACTTCACCGCCCCTGCAAAAACCAAGATGAAGTTCATATCATACCTACGGGTAAATCTCCCCTCCCATCACCACATACTGAAAAAAGAACTCCAAAGTGAAATGACCCCTAGTTTAGGTAAGGTAATTGTAACTCTGTACATAATTTGGAGATTCTAAGCCAGAGGACTTCATGTGTAAAATTCAGGATCCCTAGCAGGCCAAACTCTAGTCACAGTTGTCTGCCCAACAAAGGTCTATGGGGATTCCTTGGTTCAGACGGCATACATACCTCATGGCTGCTTACCATCTTTCTTCCTAAAGTTCCTTAATAAATAACACCCTCTCTACCCCGTGGAACCTCAAACACAGCAGACTATCCTCACCATGACAGGCCTGTGATGCCAGCACCTTTAAAACTGTCCCTGGAAGAGGTCCAAGTGGAGCTCCTGGAGATTGCTGAGGGAGAAATGAGAGGTAACTGTATCACATGAACTTCATCACAGGACAATCTACTTCTACCCAGAGCCCGACAAGAATGCACCGTACAGACACTGCACACCCCACTACTCCATACACATGCTGCACACCATATTACTCAATCCTATACGTTTCCTGCAACAAAAATCTTTACAACAACTTTGTATCCCTGAGACTCACCTTCACCTGTTCCTGCAGAAACTCCTGAAAAACAGAGAAATGAGATCAGTAAAAGTAAACTCTCACAATCCCCCAAACAAATCAGCCTTAACATTCAGCAAGCTCCACTGCATGTCTCCACACTGTCCTGCTTCTCACCTCCACCATCTTCCTGGCCACCATCGCTCTCCTTCGTTGCGTTTCACTGACCTTCTTGTCCACAAAACATTGGGGAATTTCGCTGACCAATACCCGGGATGAACAGCTGTCTGGAAATGAGAGGGACAATCCAACCCTCTGCAGCGCACCTGCGCGTATCCTGTAGAAAAAAAGCTACCATGAGTTGGAGAAACTGAACCATGGCGGGAGATGAACAACACAATATACCTGAGGAGGCGGCCCTCTTCTTCAGTAATGTCCACCTCTAGCGGGGGATTCACCATGGAAACCTTTAGTCTCCTTCCACCATCTTCTGATGATGGCTCAAAGGAGTCTGTGTATGGTAAAGGAGACATTAGAGGTGCCTGTTATTATTTGGAAAAGCGAGGATGAATACTTTTTTTTTTTTTTACCTGCAATCAGCTGCTCCAAACGGACCCGCTCATGAGCCGCATGCTGATCCACCAACACCAACAGGTTCGCACCTGCAAAATCCACTTAGAAAAGACAAAAACAGATTCAAATGACTGACTGACTGAGAAGTCTCAGGTGAGAGATGTTGCTATCGTCCAGTATAGGTTTCCCTTCCCCAAAGTGAGTATGGACAGGACAAGGAACGTTTGCATGAAATTTCACCACTGGAGTCCCCAAAAAATAGAACATAGTTTTGGTATTGCTGTCAGATGCAGTGCTATGAAGCAAGAAAACATTACCACCCAACCTACACTCACTGCCTCAAAAACAAAAAAAAAACAAAAAAAAAACACCCAGCCCTGTTCACTCCCAAGACCTGAGCTGACTCTGCCCACTTCCAGGTCCTCCCTAACTCATCTCCAGGACCCTCTGTCGGCTCCCGGGCCCTCACCTGATTCTACCACCCCCAGGGTTCTAACTGAATTCTGCCTTTTCTCAGGTTTTAAACTAGCTCTGCCCACTCCCAGGCCCTCCAGTTAGACAACCTGCTCCTAGGACCTCACCTAACTCTGCCAGCTCCCTTGTCCCCACCTGACCCTGGTCCTCACCTGATTTTTCCATCTTTTCAGTCTGTGTGTCAACCAAGCATGCAATGAACTTTTTGTCCACTTGTTGCACAACCTGCAAAGAAGAATATTCGATAAATAAAATAAGTGACATTACATCAGAGTGCTCTAGAGTCCAGCATCTCCTCACACTGACACCATGCTGTAAGGTTTCATAAATATTCCCTCTGTGGTTCATGGTCATGCAGTGTTGTCACTCTCCACCAGCTTTCATTCACACCAATCAGCACCTAGTGTTAGGATACCAACAATACTAAAATTGCAAAGGCATTCTATGCATGAAAATAAAAAAACCTTAAGTATGCAGCCCCCCTAATACTTACCTGAGCCCGATCTCGATCCAGTGATGTGCACAAGAGCAGAAGCTCTCTCTCTCTCCTCAGTGGCTCAGAGACAGTAGTAGGAACCATTGGCTAGAGCTGCTGTCAATCACAACCAGTGAGGAGGGGGTTGGGGAGCAAGCACATGTGCACCCAGCTTGTTATGGGAGCACTCAGCAGGGCAGTGGAGCCAGAAGTGCAGACAGGGTACCCAAAAAGAGGAGGTTCAGGCCTGCTCTGTGCAAAACCATTGCACACAGCAGGAAGGTATGACGTTTATTTTTTTTTAATGTACCTGAAATATCACTTTATTATCTGTCCAGTAAACCAAACTTGTCAGAAATATGCCAACAGTGGGTCAAGACTTTTTTTTTTTTTGTAAAATATGTTCTCCCACCTCCTAAGCCTATTGGTCAATGAGGTTGTTCACATTAAAGAGGCTCAGGAGGCATGGCCAAGATCAACATACAACTTCTGCTGCCCAAATGATTGGATCTACAGCTCAGTATGTCAGCTCTTGTATATTTGCCTAAGGGCCCTTTCACATGGGCTGTCAGTCTGGATCTGTCAACGGTTCCAATCAGAACCACAGGCTAGGTCTATAGGTGGGCAGATGTAATCGGATGATTATTCATGTCCATTTTTTTAAAGCCTCGTTCACACGGGCATACTTAATCGTACACCCCCTGTGAGGGGTGTGTTTTGCTTGCATGGGATGCACAGGCGTTTCATGCATCCATGTGCAGACTTTCCTTTCATGTCAATTGGGACACAGCTGCTGCTCCCAATTTTACATCTATGTGGATGTAAGTCACTGAATGCAGACTGTGTGAGATTGGGGACATGCACCCACACACATGCTGATGGGAGGTTGTAAACTCTGATGAAACACTGAAGCAGATTAAATACCTTGAAATTCAAATAGCCCTCTATCATAAGAGCTCCAGGGATGCTATAACTGTCCACAGCACACTTTACCTCTCTCCATTATAAAGTATGGTCAGCGTACCTCCATGGTGCGAATCATCTCCTTAGTAAATCGATATGGGTACAATATATTGTGTATCTTCACAATCAAAGAATCTGAACGGTCTTTACCGATGTCCACAGCCACCTAACACAAGAAAAACATGCAATGCAACTCAAACTAGCCTTTAAAAAGAAAGTAAGCCGTATTCAAAAAGTGCACTGTGAGGCAGGACCCATTGTGAATGCTGTACAATGAGTAGGATGTATACATGTAATCATTATACGCTATATGATCAAATACAAAGCTCAAAAAAAATGAAAAAGGAACACTTTGAAAGCACATCAGATCTCAATGGGGAGAAATCTCCTGCTGGATATCTATACTGACATGGACGGGGTAATGTGTTAGGAACGTAAGGACGCCCCATCGGTTGATGGCAATGAAAATGATCGACCTACAGAGGACTGAATTTAAAGACACACTGACAAGCAAAGTGATAAAACGATGCAGCAGGCGAGTCCATTTTTGGTGAAATGTCATTGCAGCAACTCAGAATGGTCCTCAGTAGTTTGTGTGGCCCCCACGTGCTTGTATGCATTGCCTGACAACGTCGGGAGAGGCTCCTAATGAGACGAAGGATGGTGTCCTGGGGTATTTCCTCCCAGATCTGGACCAGGGCATCACGGAGGTCCTGGACAGTCTGAGGTGCAACCTGGTGGCGTCAGATGGACTGAAACATGATATCCCAGAGGTTTTCTATTTGATTTAGGTCAGGAGAGCGTGGGGGGGGGGGGCATTCAATGGTATCAATTCCTTCATCCTCCAGGAACTGCCTGCATACTCTCACCACATGAGACCGGGCATTGTCGTGCACCAGGAGGAACCCAGGACCCACTGCACCAGAGTAGGGTCTGACAATGGGTCCAAGGATTTCATCCCAATACCTAATGGCAGTCATGGTGCCATTGTCTAGCCCAGGGGTGTCCAAACTTTTTTCAAAGAGGGCCAGATTGGATGAAGTGAACATGGTGGAGGGCCAAAACATTTTTCCGAACATTCTTTGAACCATTACAATTAAATGCAAATAAATTATTTTATGTCGAGTTAATTGCAAACGACATACTTTTCATTTCATAACATTAAGATCAACTGACAGCTGAGTTTTCACAATGTATTGAAAATAAATTAAAAAAAAAACAAAAAAAAAAAACAAACTTACCTGCACTAATGTGAAGGGTGAAAAAGGTAGCTGGAGCTGAAGTCTCTGCTCGGCAGCCGGGAGGGGAAGAGAAACACACTTCACGCTGGAAGCCCGGCCCTGACGTCACCGCCCTCTGTCGCTCCCAGCGCGGCACAGTCACGCATGCGCGCACTGCTCTCAAGCAGAAGACTGTCTGCCACAGAAGGGAGGGCTGTGCGACAGCCGCATTTACACAGACCAGGGAGAATGCGCCGCAGTCAGGCATGCGCACTGCCCTCTGCTCTCAAGCAGAAGACTGTCTGCCATAGAAGGGAGGGCCACATTATACAGAACAGGGAGGGCTGTTGGAGGGCCGTATTAAACCAACCCCCGGGCCGTAAATGGCCCGCGGGCCAGACTTTGGACATGCCTGGTCTAGCCTGTAGAGGTCTGTGCATCCCTCCATGGATATGCCTCCCCAGACCATCACTGACCCACCACCAAAACGGTCATGCTAAACCATGTTACAGGCAGCAGAATGTTCTCCACACCCTTTCACGTCTGTCACATGTGCTCAGGGTGGACCTGCTCTCATCTGTGAAAAGAACAGGGCGCCAATGGCAGACCTGCCAATTCTGGGGTTCAATGGCAAATGCCAATTGAGCTCTATGGTGCCGGGCAGTGAGCACAGGACCCACTAGAGGATGTTGGGCCCTCAGGCCACCCTCATGAAGTCTGTTTCTGATTGTTTGGTCAGAGACATTCACACCAGTGGCCTGCTGGAGGTCATTTTGTAGGGCTCTGGAGTGCTCATCCTGTTCTTCCTTGCACAAAAGGAGCAGATACCGGTCCTGCTGATGGGTTAAGGCAGGGCTTAAAATTTCAAGTCCTGAGCCACTAGCCAGGTCCTAGAGTTACTCGCCACCAAACAGAGACATCTGTGTACACACACCTTCCCCCTCCCCCCCCCCCTTCTCTCTTCGCTCCCTCATCTCCCCCCTCTCTCTCGCTTCCCCCTATTCCCTCTCTCTTCCCCTTCTCTCTCTCTCTCCCTCTCTTCCCCTTCTCTCTCTCTCTCCCTCTCTTCCCCTTCTCTCTCTCTCTCCCTCTCCCCCCCCCTCTCTCTCTCTCCCCCCTCTCTCGCTCCCTCTATTCCCCTTCCCTCTCTCCCTCTCTTCCCCCCTCTCTCTCTCCCTCTCTCTTCCCATTCTCTCTCTTCCTCTCCCTCCCCCTTCTCTCTCCCCCTTCCCCCCTCTCTCTTCCCCTTCTCTCTCTCCCCCTCTCTTCCCCTTCTCTCCCTCTCCCTCTCTCCCCCTCTCTCTTCCTCTCCCCCCCCTCCCTCTCTCCCCTTCTCTCTCTCCCCCCCCTCTCTTTCTCTCCCCCCCCTCCCCCATCTCTCTCCCCCTTCTCTCTCCCCACCTGCTCTCTCTCCCCCTCTCTCCCCACCTGCTCCCTCTCTCTCCCCCCCTTCCCTCCCTCTCCCCCTCCCTTCCCTCCCTCTCCCCCTCCCTTCCCTCCCCTCCCTCTCCCCCTCTCTCTCCCCCTACCCCCTCTCTCTCTTCCCCCTTCCCTCTCTCCCCCCCGTCCCTCTCTCTCTCCCCCCTTCTCCCCCTCCCCTCTCCCCCCCTTCTCTCTCTCCCTCTTCTCTCTCTCCCTCTCTTCCTCCCCCTCCCCCTTCTCTCTCTCCCCCTTCTCTCTCTCTCCCTCTCTCTTCCTCTCCCCCTCCCCCCTCTCCCTTCCCCCCTCTCTCTCTCCCCCCTCTCTCCCTTCCCCCCCCCCCTCTCTCTCCACCCCCTTCTCTCTCCCCCCTTCCCCCCTTCTCCCTCCCCTCTCCCTCCTTCTCCCTCCCCCCTTCCCCCCCCCTCCCCCCTTTCCCCCACCCCCTTCTCTCTCTCTCTACTTCCCCTTCTCTCCCTCTCTTCCCCTCTCCTCCCTCTCTTCCCCTTCTCTCCCTCTCTTCCCCTTCTCTCCCTCTCTCTTCCCCTTCTCCCTCTCTCTTCCCCTTCTCCCTCTCTCTTCCCCTTCTCCCCTCTCTCTCCCTTCCCCCCCTCTCTCTCCCTTCCCCTTCTCTCCCCCTCTTCCCCTTCCCTCTTCCCCTTCCCTCTCCCTCCCTTCCCCCACCCTCTTCTCTCTCCCCCCTCTCTCTTCCCCTTCTCTCTCCCCCCTTCCCCTTCTCTCTCCCCCTTCCCCTTCCCCCCTCTCTCCCCCCTTCTCTCTCTCTCCCCCCCTCTCCCTTCCCCTTCTCTCTCTCCCCCCCTCTCCCTTCCCCTTCTCTCTCTCTCTCTCCCCCCCTCTCCCTTCTCACTCTCTCCTCCCCTTCTCTCTCTCTTCCCTCCCCTTCTCACTCTCTCCTCCCCCTTCTCTCTCCCTCCTCTCCTCCTCCCCCTTCTCTCTCCCTTCCTCTCCTCCCCCCCTTCCCCCCCTCCCCCTTTCCCCCTCCTCCCCCCCTTCCCCCCCTCCTCCACCCCCCCCCTCTCTCCCCCCTTCCCCCCCTCCACCCCCCCTCTCTCTCCACCCCCCCTCTCTCCCTTCCCCTTCTCTCTCCCCCTTCCCCCCTCTCCCCCCTCTCCTTCTCTCTCCCCCTTCTCCCTTCTCTCTCCCCCTTCCCCCCCCTCTCCCTTCCCCTTCTCTCTCTCTCCCCCCCTCTCCCTTCCCCTTCTTCTCTCTCTCTCCCCCCCTCTCCCTTCCCCTTCTCTCTCTCTCTCCCCCCCTCTCCCTTCCCTTCTCTCTCCCCCCCCCCTTCTCTCTCTCTTTCCCCCCCCTTCTCTCTCCCTCTCCTCCCCTTCTCTCTCTCCCTCTCCTCCCCCTCCTCCCCTTCTCTCTCTCCTCCCCTCCCCTTCTCTCTCTCCCTCCCCTCCCCTTCTCTCTCTCCCCCCCTCCCCCTTCTCTCTCTCCCTCCCCTCCCCCTTCTCTCTCTCCCCCTCTCCCCCTTCTCTCTCTCTCCCCCTCTCCCCCTTCTCTCTCTCCCCCTTCTCTCTCTCCCCCTCTCCCCCTTCTCTCTCTCTCCCCCTCTCCCCCTTCTCTCTCTCCCCCTCTCCCCCTTCTCTCTCTCCCCCTTCTCTCTCCCTTCTCTCTCCCCCCCTTCTCTCTCCCCCCCTCTCCCCCTTCTCTCTCCCCCCCTCTCCCCCTTCTCTCTCCCCCCCCTCTCTCTCTCTCTCTCTCTTCCTTCTCTCCCCCTTCCCCCCCTCTCCCCCTTCTCTCTCTCCCCCTCTCCCCCTTCTCTCTCTCCCCTCTCTCTTCCTCTCCCCCTTCCCCCCCCTCTCCCCCTCCCCCCCTCCTCCACCCCCCTCTCTCTCTCCACCCCCCTCTCTCTCCACCCCCCCTCTCTCTCTCCCCCCTTCCCTCTCCCCCCCCTTCCCCTCTCCCCCCCCTTCCCCTCTCCCCCCCCCCCCCCTCTCCCCCTCTCCCCCCTCCCCCCCTTCCCTCTCCCTCCTTCCCCCCTCTCCCCCCCCCTCTCTCTCTTCCCCCTTCTCTCTCTCTCTCCCTTCCCCCCCTCTCTCTCTCCCCCTTCCCCCCCTCTCCCCCCCTCTCTCCCTTCCCCCCTCTCTCTCTCTCTTCCCCTTCTCCCCCCTCTCTCCCCCTTCTTCCCCCTCTCTCCCCCCTCTCTCTCTCTTCCCCCTGTCTCTTCCCCTTCTCTCTCTCTCCCTTCCCCTTCCCCCCCTCTCTCCCCCTTCTCTCTCTTCCCCGTCTCTTTCCCCTTCTCTCTCTCTCTCTCCCTCCCCCCCCTTCTCCCCCCTCTCGCTCTCTCCCCCTTCTCTCTCTTCCCCTTCTCTCTCTCTCTCTCTCTCTCTCTCTTCCCCTTCTCACATCGTATGGGGCTGCACACAAACACCTTCTCCAAGGGCTGCTGATCTCTGGGCAGCAGGAAGGGGGGGGGGGTTGCAGCCCCATACGTCAGTGTAGGGAGGGAGGCAGGGAGATCCCACAGAACACAGCACAGCTCACCTGCTCTGGGCTTATTCCTCTCTGACACTGCTCCTCTCCCTGCTTCAGGCTGTCCCCTGGTCCCGGCTCATCAACTGCTGGAGGGAGAGGTACAGGAGCATCGCTCTGCAACTGCCCTGCATCGATTCTCCTGCTGTCCGGGCGATTGCAATGGTACCGGTGCGACCCCTTTGCTGGCGGCCCTGCATGGTTCTGTCTGCTGCTGCCTAAAAGGTCCCTTCTTCCGGGGAGCAGTAGATACGCCCCTGCCCTGGGGGACACACTCGCCCCCCACCATAATTTCCACTCGCCATTGGTGAGCAGGCGAGTGGAAATTTCAAGCCCTGGGTTAATGTCCCTGTCCAGCTCTCCTAGAGGAACTGCCTGTCTCCTTGAATCTCCTCCATGCTCTTAAGACTGTGCTGGGAGACACAACAAACCTTCTGGCAATGGTACGTATTAATGTGCCATCCTGGAAGAATTGGACTGCTTGTGCAACCTCTGTAGGGTCCAAGTATGGCCTCATGCTACTAATAGTGACACTAATCCTAGCCAAATGCAAAACTAGTGAAAAACAGTCAGAAAAGATGAGTAGGGAAAACATTTTCAGTGGCCTCCACCTGTAAAACCATTCCTGTTTTGGGGATTGTCTCATTGTTACCCATCTAGTGCACCTGTTGTTAATTTCATTAACACCAAAAGCAGCTGAAACTGATTAACAACCCCCTCTGCTACTTTACTGACCAGGTCAACATCCCAGGAGTTTCATTGACTTGATGCTATACTCTGATTCAAAAATTTTCCTTTAATTTTTTTGAGCAGTGCATATATGGACACCTGACCATCAAACCTCTACGTGAGCTTGTTGGACATCACATTCAAAAAAACTATGACCATTAATATGCATAAGGCACCCATTTGTAGCTTCACCATCTCCACTCTACTGAGAAGACTTTCCACAAGATTTTGATGTGTCTGAAAACTTATAAGGTCAGATACTAATGCCTAATTGATCCCAAAGGTGATCAGTAGGGTTGAGGTCAGAACTTGGTGCAGGCCAGGCTCTGTGATGTCTTACAAACTCCCATTGTGCATCTATACACAGGGATTGGGTGTGGTAGCAGGGAGTGAATTGTCTGGCCTGCCACTATAAATATCAGAAGAGATATGGATCACTTACAGCAGGATGTCGGGGAAACACTGGATTCTGCCACTTTGAATACATTGCCTCTAGTGAGCCATCACCTGTGAAGAGAGATTTGCCATTACATTGAAAAAAGGGGGTGGGGTGGGGTTTGGGGAAGGACAGTCTTCTGTACCAAGGAGGAGTGAAAGAGGTTAGGGAGGACAGTTCTCTATCAGGGAGAAGTGAGAGGGACTGGGGATGACAGTCCTCTGTATAGGGGAGAAGGACTGGGGAGAGAAGTCTGTATCAGGGAGTGAGGGACCACTCTACTGGAAGAAGTAAGTGGGGATTAGGAAGGAGTGTCCTCAGTAATAGGGAGTAGTGAGGAGGGACTTGGGAGGACAGCCCTTTGTATTGGGGGAAAGTGAGGGGGATAGTCTTCTACTTGAGGGAGTAAGGGGGGATTGGGGAAGAGAGGTTTCTATATCAGGGAAGAATCAAGAGTCACTGGGAAGGACAGTCCTCTGCATTAGGGGGAGAATGTGGGGCGTTGGAAAGGATGTGACGTAACTGGAGAGAGTTAGGGGGGACTGGGGAGAACAGTCTTCTGTATCAGGGAAGAATGAGGGGGATGGGGGGGGGGAATAGTGCTGTACTGAAGGGAGTAGAGGGGTCTGGGAAGGACAATTCTCTGTTTCGGGGAAGAGGCCAGAATGATTGGGGTGGACAGTCCCCTGTACTGGGGGAAAGTGAGGGGGTACTGGAGGGATTTGGGAGGACAGTTCTCATTTTTTGAACTGGAGCCCAGAATGATTGGCAGTCCTCTGTATTATGGGAAAGTGGGGGACAACTGGGGAGGACAGACCTCTGTATTGGGGGAGAGTGGGGGGGTATTGGGAACGACAGTCCTGTACTGGAAAGAGTAAGGGGGGATTGGGGAGAACAGTCCTCTGTATTACAGAAGAGTGAGGGGGATGTGGGGGGGGGGGTAGTCCTGTACTGGAAAGAGTAAGGGGGGATTGGGGAGAACAGTCCTCTGTATTACAGAAGAGTGAGGGGGGGATGGGGGGGGGGGTAGTCCTGTATTGGATGGAGTAAGGGGGGATTGGGGAGAAAAGTCCCCTGTATTACAGAAGAGTGAGGGGGGATTGGGGGGGTCCTGTACTGGATGGAGTAAGGAGAATTGGGGGTGACAGTTCTCTGTTTAAGCGAGCAGTACAGAGTGATTGAGGAGCACAGTCCTCTGTTTTAGGGGAGAGTGAGGGGGACTGGGGATGACAGTCCTGTACTGGAAGGAGTAAGGGGGGGATTAGGGAGGACAGTTCTATGTATTGAGGAGTCAAGAGTGACTGGGGAGGGTACTCCTTTGCATCAGGAAGGAGTGAAGGGGGATTTGGGGAAGACAGTCCTCTTATCAGGAAGAACTGGAGAGAGTACCCTGTACTGAAGGGAGTAAGTGGGGATTGGGAAGGCGTGCCCTCTGCAGTCTTCTGTATCAGGAAGGAGTTAGGGGGATTGAGGAAGATAGTACTCTGTAGAGAGGAGTGAGAGAGGATTGGGGGGGGAAGGGAAGACATTTGTCTGTACTGTCTGTACTGGGGGGGGGGGGGGGGGGAGAGAAGAGTAAGGTGGTGGGGAGAAGGAGTGACGAGGAGTGAGGGGAGTCTGGGGAAGACAGTCCTCTGTATCAGCAGGATATAGATGTTAGTCTCTACCTCTCTGGCTGGGTGGGCCTCTCTCTGAGCTGGCTCTGGGTAAGAATGGCTCTAGCAGCGCACTCCTAAAGGGATGACATTGGTACTGGAAGCCTAGATGAAAGGAAAAAAATCTACTGCTGTTATATCGGTCAGTCGGATTCCTCCGTTTTCAGACCATAGGTATTTTATGAGGTATTTCTGCAAATCTTACAACCAATGCACCAACACATAAGGCACATATCTGACTTCTATGGCTTAATATGTATCCAAACCCAATAACAAAATGCTATATATTGCAGCTGAACACAGTCCTTAGATGCAGTGGCTGCATTTGTTCTCTTCTGGCTCCTTGCCTTGATTTACTCCTGGTAGTCCTGCCAGTAACACACATTCTGTCCTAGGGTGACAACGCTCACTAACTGTTCTGTATCAATGGAGAAAGAGTGTTGCAGGAGAGGCCTACAGAATACCTCCCAATCCCATTACATGGGGGAGGGGGTGTTCTGTAGTTCTCAAGCAGAGTTGGGAAGGCTGATACTATTGTTTGAGATTCAGTTCATCTAACAGGAAGTTACAAAGACACTGGATTTCTGGAAGGATTAACAGGTATTTTCTGTACTTGTAAAAATTGTACAAAAAAAAAAAAAATGAAAACTAATGCAGCCACCATACCTAAGCACTGGTAGGATGCAATATATTACATTTTTGTTCTTGGTTCCATATGGCCTTTAAATCTACAACCTATATGACATCATAAATTAAAGTAAGATGGTAGAATGAGGCCAGCTTTCACAAATGGATGGTATGTACCATTATCACAGACCACTGTGACAGGCATAGTTGATAAATCTTTGGTACAGGCTGTGGTCCGGTCTGCCTGTGGGGCGCTATAAGTACTGAGTCCAGTGCTGGAGTTGATGAAGACATTCCTCCCCAGACTTTGCGAATAGTGTTGCAGCCACTCCAGGGAAGAATTGCGTGTTTCTTTCTCCTCCTGGTGGATTCCTTTCTGGGATGTCTGTGGCTCCAGTCCATCTTTTTCTGGCTCATAGGTCAAGCCTCCTATGTCCATATTCATATTTGCACATATCTGAAAGTCACGGGAGGGTGCTGTGCTTTGGGGCAGTTCAGCCATTGAGTGGTCAGTGTCATTTTTCAGCTGTAATTCTCCAGATTGTATCTCAAGAGGGCGAGAAGCCAGGTCCATGTCCTTTTTCAGCTGGCACAGCTTATTTGATAGGGAGCTGTGAGGTTTGGTGGTTCCTGGCTCCTTTTCCCCTGAACTTGCATAGTTGGATAGAGTCAAGGGACTGACAGTCACACAACTAGTCACAGCCATCTTCTCACTCTCTTTGCACATCACAGTCTCTTGCACAGCTGGCTGTATGCGATCAACTGAAGGACACGAGGCTTCCACCCTGGCTGATTCTGCTCCAACATGGAGGAGGCCACCACAGGCTGCGGTCCCTTTCTTTCCATAAGCTCTTCTGAATTTATCCAGAGATCCTTGTCCCATGGGCACATGCAGCTTCAGTGGTTTTTTAATTTTTGAGAGCACTGGAGGTATCCTACCAGTAGGATGCTTTGTTTCCAGAACGCTTTGTGCAAATTTTGAAAGTCTATCAGTACAGTAAGGAATACGTTCATTTAGCTTCTTCTCCATAACTGCACTGTTTTTGTGTGTTGAATCCAGAGAATGCAGCTTGTAGGTGACAGCAGATGGATGGCCTGGTTCTCCCCCAGAGTTGTGCATACCCAATGCTGAAGGCTTACAGCTGCTCTGGTCTTCTACCTCCAATCCAGCATTTAGACTTTTATCTGAAAGAGTGCTTTGACCTGGATGATGTGCCAGTGTGCTGTTCGAAGTTGCAGGCTCTTGGTCATTCCTACAGCATTCTAATCTGGAGCAGCCAGCTGTAACGCCTTGATGACAGAGTCTATTTTGCTGCCCAGATAATTGGTTCATGTCTTCTTCCCTGTTGGCCACAAGGTTCAGCACTCCTGACCTGCCGCTTGCAAAATCAGAACACAAATTCGAACTGTCCAGTTTCTCCCTGTTGTCCATCTGTGAGGTAGAGGACAGTGAAATAGTTTCTCCACTGGCAGCCTTGGTGTCAGTTGCAGAATTGTCCACCATATGTTCTGAAATCATATTCCTCCGACACACTGACTTTGATTGCAGGCTGGTCAGGTCAGGGTGAATCAATATTGACTCACTGATGCCTCTGGAATTTGATGGCTCTGAATTGTCTCCAGGTGACAATTCATGGCCTGGTAAACGGACGTGATGTTTCCGATTAAATTCATTGACATCTTCTTTAGAAGGTTCTGTACACAGGTTCTCTTTCCTCACAAAATTCTTTACCCCCTGCTCTACACACAAAAGCACAGAGCTCCAGTCCTGGAATTCAATCAATGTTTTATTAGGCTCAAAGCAGATGTCATACTCATCATACGGGCACTTGATGTTGAGTACAAAAATGCTGTGCAACTCAGTCCGGTGGGAGCCAGGGCTGCAGTTTGTGCGGCCTGCTTGGCTGGCTTTTGGCCGGCATATCACACTCTCTTTTCTCAAAAGAGAGTTAAGGAGTTTGTGTAAGTGTGTTTTCAACACTAGTCGACTATTGACATACAGGAACTGCATTGCTTTGTTGTAGTGTCCTTCAGAACTGATAAAGCCAACAATCTCCAACCTATCCTGGGCATGGTGGACCTCCCGAAGGTGCTGGGATCTTACGGGCCCATAGATTTGGCTGAAGCGTGAACACACGTCCCGGGTTTTTGGCAGCTGCAGAACCATAGAATGAAGAGCGTCATTCTTCAAAGAAAAGGAGATGGTTGGTTTCATGAGAGAAGCTGCTTCCACTTTCTGCCGAATCTTCTCCATTTCAAGGGCAGGGTTTACACGCCCCCTCCGCACAGGCAGATTATAGAAGAGGTTATACAGCGTCACGGTGGTACCAGCGCTGGGGCGAGTCACCTCAGCCTGCTGCACTGGTAGTGGCTTCCTGTTCTGGAAAAGTTTGGTAAACGTTTGGCCGGTAACTTTGTGCTTGGAGCAGATCTCTACAATACTGCACACATCGGCCATGCTGGCGATCGCCTCTCCACGAAACCCATAAAACCTTAAATCTTGCAAGTCTTTCAGGGAATGGCACTTACTGGTGAAGTATCTCATCCCCACTCTCTCCATGTCCTCTGGGCCCAAACCACAGCCATTATCCAGCACCTGCACCCGGAAAATCTCAAGGTCAACCCTTACAGCAATACACGACGCCTCAGCATCAGCACTGTTCAGCAGAAGTTCTTCCACACACTGACTGACCGATGTAATAGCAATTCCTGACCGCAAACGACATCTGACATCTTCTGGCAAGACACGGATCATCCTAAAAAGAGGACAGGACATAGGACCATGGCACTGGACCTCCATCTTAATAGGCCCATAATACTATAGATACTTGACTGAAAAAAAAAAAAAAAAAGAAAAAAAAAAATCAGAAACAATAAATGATTACCACACAGAAAACTATACAAGGTGATATAGAGTAACAGGGGTATATACAGAGGTGTATTTGCCACAAGGCATTTGCCTAGGGTGGCATTTTTTAGGGGGGCACTGCCCCCTGGAAGAAGGGACATATGCGGCATTGGGACCAGGTGAGATCCAGGTGTAGGTCTGGCGTTGGTGGGTGCCAGGCTCTCTCTCTGCTGAGGGGGGGGGGGCGTCCGATTTTTGTGTTGCCTAGGGCAGCACAGAACCTAAATACACCACTGGCTATTGACACAATGTGATACCGTGCAATGGGGATATAATGTATGCAATGCAATATGGAGTAAGAGAAGTATATACAATATGATATGTTGAACTAGAGGTATACACTGTACAATAGGATAAAGCTATATAAAGTATATGAGAGGTATACAGTGTGATAGAGATATAAAATGTGATAAAAAGGTATGCACAATGTGACAGAAGTAAATACAGGGTGACAGCAGTGTAATAGAGGCATATGCAATATCACAGAGCTACAGTACTGTGCAGAAGTTTTTGGGCAGGTGTAAAGAAATGCTGTAAAGTATGAATGCTTTCAAAAATATATATTTTATTTATTTTTTATCAATTTACAAAACGTAAAGTGAGCGAGTGTAAGAAAAATCTAAATCAAGTCAATATTTCGTGTGACTACCCTTTGGCTTGAAACCAGCATCAGTTCTAACACTTGCACAAAGTCAGGGATTTTGTGGGATTTGAGTCAGGTGAATGATTAACCAATTATACCAAGCAGGTGCTAATGATCATCAATTCCATATGTAGGTTGAAGCACAGTCATTAACTGAAACAGAAACAGCTGTGTTAGGAGGCTTAAAAGTGGGTGAGGAACAGACAAACTCTGCTACCAATGCGAGGTTGTGGAAGAACATTTCACGTCACAGATCATACACCATAGCAAGACAAAGCACAGCAACAAGACACAAGGTAGTTATACTGCATCTGCGAGGTCTCTCCCTGGCAAAGATTTAAAAGCAGACTGGGGTTTCAAGATGTGCTATTTATGCTCTTTTTTAGAAGCACAACAAAATGGGCAACATTGAGGACTGTAGGCGCAGTGGTCAGCCAAGGAAACTTAATGCAGCAAATGAAAGACACATCATGCTTACTTCCCTTCCACATCGGAAGAAGTCCAGAAGTGTCATCAGCACAGAACTGGTGGAAACCAGTGGAACCTAGGTACACCCATCTACTGTCTGGAGAAGAATAGTGGCCAAAAAGCCGATGTGGAAACAAGGCCAAGCGACTCAACTATGAAAGAAAACATAGGAACTGGGGGTGCAGAAATATGTCAGTAGGTGCTCTGGACTGATGAGTAAAAATGTAAAATATGTGGCTGTAGCAGTAGGCAGTTTGTTCTCTGAAGGGCTGGAGAGAGGTACAATAATGAGTATCTGCAGGCAATTGTGAAGCATGGTGGAGGTTCCTTGCAAGTTTGTGGCTGCATTTCTGCAAATGGAGTTGGAGATTTGGTCAGGATCAATGGTGTCCCCAATGCGAGAAATACAGGCAGATACTTATCCATCATGCCCATACCATCATGGAGGAGGGCGATTGGCCTCAAATTTATTCTGCAGCAGGAGAACGACTCTAAACATACAGCCAATGTCATTAAGAACTATCTTCAATGTAAGATACTCCCTTTCCTCAATACATGAAAACAATGCACAAGAAAGGTTCTTATAAGTAAGTAGAGTCTTATAACATTCTAGTAACTTCTCCAAGTGAGAGACTTTAGTCAAAGTTGTGACGAACGTGGCATCAGACCCAGCCCTTCTCACCAAACTCGTGACCGAAGGACTAGCCAATCTAAAACCACGATGTCACATGCGTAACAATGCCACACCCAGCTGCACCCTGCACAACGATTTTCCAGCTAATTGGACCACAATCGATGTACCAGCAGCCTGGGAGCGATTGTTACTGGGTCAGGTTAATTACGCAATTAACCCTTCACACTGCCACCACCTCCTTTTTATACAGAGAAAGAGGAAACTCGACAATACCAGCAATAACCCTATAATGGTTGAGATAATCATCTGTATAACGCGGTCACCGCAGACCAGTTATACAGAGGGTTAAACAAACACAGTAGCGCTCTTTTGGAGGCAGGAATTCGTAAATTGCAATAAAGAGCTATAGAAACAGTTCAATGCTTTCAGAAGGAAATATTTATTACTAAAAGGTCAAAAGGGGCAATAAAAATATTTACAGAAAAAAGATGTAACCAATATATACATAAATATACAGAGAACAACAGCACAGCAAAGAGATAACAGAGAGAAGTTAGAGGGTTAAAGTACTTGCCAAAGTCCTGGGTTAGCAGATCAAGTTTCAGAGAGAAAGGGCACGGATCTCTGATGTTAAACGGGAGAATTCTTCAACTTCACTTTCTTAGGCCTGACAGCCTATTTTGTAGTGCCCTAGCAGGGGGTGTCTCTGAAGTCAAGGACCAATGCCCCATTTAGGGAGGGATCTTCTGGGCGTAACCCTAAATTAGAGCCAAAATCTCTTATAGTTCATATTTTGGTCATACCTCCTCATACCTTTCCCCGTGCACAAGTGACAGTCCGCCGCAGGTAGATTATTATGCAGGCACATCTGAGGAATGATTAGATATGAAAATTATACACTGAATGGTTCAAGAGATCTACATTTCTGCTTTCCTATGTATTCCAGCCAAGGAGAATGACCTATCAAACTGTCTCCTCGTGGCCAATTTGAAGATATGCCTGGTTTTTATGTAAGTCTCTCATAATCCAAGATATGAGACATAGGGGAAAACTGGATTTTAAAAGTGTTATATGGTTCTGTCACATATGCTGAGTTAGGTTTATTAGCGCAGTTATGTGTGCTTCGTTGGAATGTCTTTGAACGCCTGGGAAGGCTTGCGTTATCTTTTACGAGGGGTTATATTGCACAGCTCTCTTAGACAACCGGGCACCTCGGGGCTCCCTGCTGGGCTCTGGCCTGCCTGCGACACTTCCAACACCCACACCAACCAGATGTCACGGTGGCTCTCAGAGAGGGAGGGGGAGAATGATGGGACAAAACGGAGATTTCTTAACAAAATGGAGGGCTGTGTCCTTCACTGTGTGTATGCTTGTTACAAAAGTCTCTCACTTAGAGACGTTACTTACTAAATGTTTGGGGACCTCTCCCCCTTTTTGGGCATTACTTGCAGGATCCCGCCTCCCCTTTTTTTGCACAGAGGGGGACTGGCTGGGGTCTCACTGCCATTTAGTCTTATATACAAGAGTCTCTCTTACGCATTGTGCCTTCATCTATTGCTCTGAGGAAGAGAGTTTGACTCCCGAAACGCGTTAGCACCTTACCCGAGGACCTATGTTGTCCACGACTGGCATCCTTTGACTCCTTGTCTCTGTTTTTATGACTTTTGAGTATGCATTTGTATTTTTATAATAAAATGTCATATTATTACGGTAGGGCACGAGGAAAGCGCGCCCTGTTTTGTTCTTTTCTGCTATCATCATGGAGTCTGACATGAAGAGACAGAAGGATCTGAAGATCTGTGGTTAGTTCTCCAAGATGCTTGGAACAACCTACCTTCCGAGTTCCTTCAAAAACGGTGTGCAAGTTTACCTAGAAGAAGGCAAAGGGCGGTCGCACCAAATATTGATATGATTTTCTCTTCTGTTCGTTTACTTTCCATTTTGTTAATTGATAATAAACAATGAACATTTCTATTTCTGAAAGCATTCTTCATGTACAGCATTTTCTCACACCTGCCTAAAACTTTTGCACAGTACTGTATAATCGAGGTATACAGTGTGATCGAGGTAAATACAGACTGGCAGAAATACATACAACGTAATAGAGGTATGTACAGTGCAGAGGTACAATATATACACTGTAATAGAGGTATACGCAATGTAAGAAGAGTGTGATAGAGGTATAAACAATGTAACAATTATATACGGTGTAACAAAGGTATATACAATGTAAGGCTAGGTTCACACCTATGCAGTTTGCGTTTGATCTGTTTCTGCAGGGCTTTTTGCGGTGCATTTTGCATTTTTGCACGTGTTTTTGCCACATTTCTGATGTTTTTTTTTTTCTCTTTTCTTTTTTCAACTTGTTGCTGGGCAGAATAAAATTCAAAACGTGTCAAAAACGCATAACAAAAGCACTACATGCTTTTCTGCAGCGTTTCCATTGACATCTATAGAACCAAAAACGCAATATTTCGCGTTTAACCACTTGCCTTCTGGGCACTTCTACCCAGGGGCAGACTGACAACTCATGGGGCCCCTGGGCAATAGGGAATCATGGGGCCCCTGTGTCCTTGCCCATACTCAAAAAAAGCCAATAAAAAAAAAAATGTACCAGGGGAATTTCATGGGGCCCCCTACTGACCCTGGTCCCTCGGGCAGTGCCCAAGTGCTTGAATGCTCAGTCCGCCCCTGCTTCTACCCCCTTCCTTCCCAGTCCGATTTTCAGCTTTCAGCGCTGTCGCACTTTGAATGACAAATGCGCAGACATGTGACACTGTACCCATATGAAAACTCCATTTTTTT